GGCCTACGTGCGATACCTACAAACGAATGGAACCGTGGCTAGTACTTGGCCGTACTGTGGGCTGGATGGTTGCTGCCAACCATCTGTCACTAGGGTGATTCCGTACAAGAAAGGGCCATTTCCAATTACAGCCCCCCCCTTTCCCATTTTACAGGTGCCACTTTGTCACTGTCCTCAAAAAGGGAAGGGTACAAGGGGGAAAAGGAGCTAAAGAAAGGAAAAACCCGTTTTGACCGCCGCCATGTAAGCCAATACCACTTTTACAGCGATTTCTAGTCACATTTCGAAGCAAAACACAAGTATACAACAGCGGGGAGATGCGGAGGATTCGTGAAAAGGAGCGAAACGTATGGGTTCCACTTGCCAAAACTGTAGTCAGGAGCAGGCTAGCAGAAATCCCTTAAGATTCAAGGAATCCGGAATCGAGTCGAGCGAAACGGTACTGGACTGTTGGCGGGGGGGAGCGCGGGTTTATCAGGGCAAAACTCTTTTTCCCAGCAACCTTGTACGGTCTTGAAACCAACTATTACCTATTTTTTTAGAACTTTACACACTTTGAGCGATCAAAAGTTCATAAAAAACTCCTGAAAATTTCCGAAAATTTTTGGCTTTTTGGCCAAAAATGTATGAAAAATGAACAAAAAGATCAAACTTTTTGAATTTTCTGAAAAGTTGAAAATATTTTAAAGACTTTCTAGCAATCATAAATTCGCGAATTTCAACCATTACCAAAATCCCGACTGGCTATAATCACGAGAGTCCAAAATCCCAACATTCATAATCTTTAAAGCCATAATACCGACCGCCAGTTCCTTTTTTGGCTGTCGGGATTTTGGCGTTTTGTGATTGGCATCGGTGGCATACTAGCAGAGACCACTCATGCATCATCACAAGAATGTTGTCCGGAAAAGTCATTAATTCCCGGCTTCGATTGGTAAGCTAGCAGCGATCCCTTGGGATCACGACGATCCTAAGCTGCTCCGCTATCATGGTAACCTGCTTCGATGTACTAGCAGAAAGACGAGGGTCTTCATTTAGGGATCGATCAGCCCAACTGGCAGAGAATTCATAGGAATAAATGCCTTGTCCGGTCCTTTAATCCGACCCTCCAACGGTCACAAATTTGGATATCAAAATACAGAACCCTAAAACGCACCCTAAATCACCGGCGGGGATTTCGGGGGGGAAGTGTTTGAGCCAGTTTTCCCGCCTCCGCCTGGTTCACCCTCCTTCCTCAACTACAAAAAAGGAGGAGCAGGAGCAGGAGGGGCGGAAAGGAGCCCCCGGGGGATGCCATTTCCATTTCATTATGCAAACGCGAATGGGGGGATACGGAGGGGGGTCGCTTTTCAAAAAAGATTTCACTCCCCACGCCCTCCGGCCTTCACATAGACGGAAACACGTTTATCATACAGGCCGATGAAATGGCAATGCGGGGATTGAAAGGGAATTGCAAATCAAAAAAGGGTGGAAAAGGGTGTCTAGCCGTTTCGTAAGGGCTTATGGCATTATGGTGATCAGGGGAAGGGAAAGCTGATAAGGTGGATTAAGGGGATTTATCTGGAACTATCGAAAACCATCAAAGGAGCAAGGAAGGTAAGCTTTTTCAAAACTCCACGAAAAAAAAGGCTTATCGTGAGGACCGCTGAAGTCCCAAATTACTGCTTAAAAGGACTAGGAAGCCAGGTCCAGGCGGTTCAGCGAGCGTGGATTACTGACAAATTATAAGATACGGCCGCTGGTCCTCTTTACCCTGCTTGAGCGTCAAAAAAAGGTAAATTTTAAAATTCAGACACCTTCTGGAATACTCACGCAATTTCAAACGAGAATGAAGCGTCTAACAGGGCATTACGACATGTAATCGGCGCGCTCTCAGTTAGATTTTGCCTTTTTAAACGAATTAATTTCCCTGATGCTTTTCGGGAGTGTTGTTCCGTTTCTAGACCAAGAGGATCATCATCCTTCGCATTTTGAATTCCGGTCACTTCGCCTAAATCCGTTTCGCCTAAACCCGTATCGCCTAAACCCATATCGCCTAAAACCCATATCGCCTAAAACCCATTTCGCCTAAAGTTTTGGCCATTCTCATAGTTGCATTTTCTACAAAAAGATCGAAAATCGGTCAAAAATACAGCATTGAAAATGGTCAAAAATTTAGGCGAAATGGGTATTAGGCGAAACGGGATTTAGGCGAAATGGGTTTTAGGCGAAACGGGTTTTAGGCGAAGCGGGTTTAGGCGAGACGGGTTTTAGGCGATATGGGTTTTAGGCGATATGGGTTTAGGCGAAACGAGTTTAGGCGAAGTGGTTTTAGGCGAACCGGCCGTCACCCCCAAAATAATCGGCAGGAGAATTCCATGCAATTCCGGCTCTCCAAAACTCCGAATTTGTTACGGCCTTGATGGAGTGTATGCGTTACTAAAAAAATACTATACTTCGCGGCTTAGGTCACCCCAAAAAGCGGCGGGCGCCTTTTAAAGGACCGGGTAAGCTAGGGGTTGATTTCCAAAAAAATTCAGGCGGATCATAATTTATCAAAAAAAATCATAACTAGGAATCGAGTTAACTAATTTTTGGGGCGCAATAAATTCTTAGGCCCTTTAGAAAATCGAGAAAACAGACAAATGCCACGGTATTGTAGCCGGTGGGCAGTGGACGGTGGTCGATTTGTGCCGATGGAATGTGTATGCAATGGAATCGAGGAGGCTCGACTTTTCCAGAGAAAGAAGACGGCTTTCCCCCATCCATGATGCCTAGGGGCTACCGGTCTGTCTGTATCTCTCTCTCTCTCTCTCTCTCTCTCTCTCTCTCGGCCTCTCTCCATCCCCTCATTATGTGCCAATCCCGTGCTCCTCATCGGCCTCTTCTGGTCAGTCATGAGCTCGAGCTATTTCTTTAGACTCGGGAACATTGGTCGCTTGACGAATCTGTTGAGCATGAAAATGAGCTTCAAAATATGAGCATGAGCTCTGAAAAATGTCGTGATGTGTGCTATTTATCTTAACACCACCTGAAAATGGATATTTTTCGACCCTATAACTTTTTATGTCCAGCTATAAGGCCGAAATGGAGATTCGCAACTCTCTCTTGCTCTTCTCTCTCTCTCTCCTCTCTCTCTCTCTCTCTCTCTCTCTCTCTCTTCTCTCTCTCTCTCTTTCTCTGGCTCTCTCCCTCTCTTCCCTCTATCTCTCTCGCTGTCCCATACTCATTTTCCGAGAAAAAAAAATGAAAAAATCAAACTGTTATGATAACACGTCAACAAATCCGATTTTTTCCGAGCCCCAAATTTTCTGGATATATCTCTCAGATCCGCATGTGGGTTTATGGCTCTGATCCAAAATATCCCAGGAATGCGAGGAGTGTCATGTTATTTTGGCTGTTTGAGCATGACCCAAACTACAAAACTCACAAGGATGTGCACGAATAGCGCGAACAGAATCACGGGGCATTTTAAAGGGACTACCACTCTCAAAAAAGATTCAATTTCGTCCTGCGCGTTCCGTGTCCAGAAGGATCTATCGCCAAAAATGCCTTGCCGGACCCTTTAAACATTAGGTAAAACATCGTTGCTTCGAAAAATTAAATATCGATATATCTATTCGGTATCCTCTCTCTCACCCTCTCTCTCTCTCTCTCCTCTCTCCTTTCTCTCTCGCGCTCTGTTTCTCTCTGTCCCTCTCTCATATTTGTCAGTTTCCACACCTGAACTGATCAAAAACAGTTTGTACCAACCCACCACCGCCGCGTAAATATTTATTCCAACGGGTGCATCCGCCCTGCGTGTCAATTGTAATGTAACGGAATCTCACGTGTCAAAGCCACACCCCCTATTTTCGGTGCCCTTTTTTGGTTACTAGATTTATTGTCGGCGTATTGGCGCCATTCTTTCCATTTTTGTCTCTGTTTTCTTTTTGCTTTTTTTGCGTTGACCGCGCCCCGTTCGATGAGTAATTGGGAATGGAACGGAGAACGGAATGGAGCAAAGAGTGGAACCATTTTTTCGGAGTCTTACGCCGTAGTTCCGTTTTTTACTCAATGACGCATGGCGTTTTACAGCTTTTGTAAAGATTTTTGATCGCAGTTCGCCAGATTTCAGCATGGTTTTGTCCCGGAATAATAGATTAAATTTTTTTCAAGGGGTTGCTACTTTTTCTGAAACTCTCTCTCGCTCTCTAGCCCTCTCTTGCTCTCTAAATTTATCATAAAAATACGTGTTTTTTTCTGGAACAGCTACTTTTTCGCTAGGGCCCTTCTAGCTTCTCTCTCTCTCTCTCCCGCTTTCTCCCTCTCTCTTCTCGGTCTCTCTGGTTCTCTAGACTTCACTTGCTCTCTCTCGACATTTTTGGACTTTCTGAACCCAGATATTTGCAACTACGCGCGGCTCCAAATTCCGGAGACCCTCAAAAACGATGACACTCAAAACCAACCCCCTAAGGTCAGCTGACCCGATTTCCGCACGCCGCAAAAGACCCTTGATCCACGGCTTCAAAGAGTTTCCGGTGCTCAAGTGGTCCGTTCGGGTATTTTTGAGGGTACTGTAGGTTTTCTGTGGCGCTGACTTTCTGTTTCTCTCTGTCTCTCTCTCTCTCTCTCTCTCTCTCGCTCGCTCGGTCGCTCTCTCACGCTCTCTATCTGCAACTCCAATTTTTTGTGGGTGTCTGCCTGCCTTCCGGCAATTTATCTGAGCGGTCGGTGGCATTTCTAGTATTTTTTAAGGTATCTCGCTGCCTCTCTGGCCTTCTCTCTGTCACTCGCTCTATCTCTCGTTCTCTCTCTCTCTCTCTCTCTCTTTATATGGTGTGTGGGCGTGTGTATATGTTGGGGGAACGGGTTATCCTCCCCCTCTTCAAATCCGAGAGCAATATAATGTGCCCCCATCCCCCCGAGTACGAGATACTCCAACCAACACATCCCCCCCTCCCCACAACTACTGACCTTCATTACTCAATTACAGACAATCTCTCCCTCTCTCCTGCTCCCCTTGAAGCTCAACTGAAACAATGCCCAACCGGATCTTCTTTGCTATCGTTTTTGGTATGTTTTTGGGCTAGATTAAGTTTAAACTTTAAAGGGACCGGCAAGGCAAGCTTTTCATGTTTATCCTGGACAGTCTTAACAGTCCCCTTAAACCCAAAGAATCAAATTAACCGATTTTTTTTCAGTTTTTGCCCTTGCCCACTGCCAAGAACCCGATGAGGTCGAGAATTTCTGGCTGTGCGAAAACTTTGGCATTACGGTAGGTATAATTTACGATATTTTTTAAGCGGTGTCTATAGGAGCAACGCGTAGTCGTCCTGTTCTACACCCCGAAGACGGTCGAATTGTCGGCGACGAAGAAGAAGATCGTTTGCCAAGGTGGGTTACTGTAGGAATTGGTTTAATTTGCATTTAAAGGGGCACTGAAGTCTCCAAAAATAGGTCAAAAATGCCGTAGTTTTTTCGTATTAAAAAATCGGCAGTCTGACAAAAATGAAAAATCTCAAATTTAGCGTAATTTTTTAGAAGCTTAAGCGCAGCTTGTTATAATTCCGGTTTAGTACGGATTTCTTTTGCCGAATTTCTTGATATACGACAAAGACATCATAATTACCGCCCATTTCCAGAAGCCGCTCGTAAATGCGTGATCGCCGACGGTCCGGCCGAGCCGGGCGCTACGTACTACGGTATCTACCGTGGTGGCAAACATGAGAGCTGCGCAGCAGTACTGTAGCCACTTTATTACATTTTCCTATCGACAAAAAGCTGCTTTTGGCTTTGAATTTTTGACCTGATTAGCGTACGTAATTTGTTCAATACATATCGTAACCGGAATACCGTATTTTTAGGCCTAACGTAGCCAGTTACGGTATATTTACAATGCTTAGCCATCCACCGTATTTTCAATTTTCTGTAAATTCTACCGTATCCTATTTGCGATCTGTATATTCCCACACCAAAAATAGCAATGAATTTCCGTGAAGTCGATCTCATGACCTGAGTTTTTTGCTCAATAAATATTATGAATCGACGAGATGATACCGACCATTAATGCAGGCAGTTTACTACGCAGAAAAACTGTAAAATTCATTTTTTTTACTGACTTCCACCGGGTCCCCTGATTTTTTACAGCCTGGAAAAATCAGGTGGCAGAATGGGATGATGGGGGATTCGAGCGAGTGGCCCTTTCCAGATGTCCTGAGTGTTTGCTAAGGGCCCAGCCAAGCCATTGGGGCCCAACTCTCTCTCTCTCTACCTCTCTCTATCTGTCTCTCTCTCTCTCTCGCTCTCGCTCTCTCGCTTTCTCTTTCTCTCTCTCTCTCTCTCTCTCTCTCTTATCCCATCCCATCCGATGATCGCCCCGGTCTTCGGGGTAATTTTTTTGGGGAGGGTGTAAAACTATGGAAAGATCGATTCATGGCCCGGACATTCCGTCGGAAAATGCCGACCGGAATGATCCATTGGCAGTAACACCGACAAATCAGCCTTCCGGCGTAAAAATACCGACAATTCCGTACCCCCATATAAAAATTTCGACAGATTTCGACAGTCCAAGGAACCAATATGAAAATTCCGAGGTGGTATCGGGCCCATTGGTCAAAATGCCGACAATCCAAAGAGCTAAGACAAAAATACCGACGGGCGACGAGACATATTGCCCGAAATGCCGACAAGTACAGTCCGATGCAACGGTTGTCGGCATTTTATCGTAGCTTGTTTTACTTTCTATCGTGGCTGTGATCCTAATTCAAGAAGGTTCCGTGTTGAGTATCTCTCTTCTCTCTTTTTCTCTCTCTCCCTCTCCCTCTGTCAGTCTCTCGCTCGCTTCTATCGCTCTCTTTACCTTATTCTCCTCCGTAGCAATATGCAGCTAATAGCAAAGTTCGCGCTTTAATTCCGGGCTCTAACTGCTACATAATCAGTCAACCTCCTAGATTCTCAAAAAATACCCCCCCCCCTTCCCCGAATCGTTTCTTTCTTGGAGATTCTGCGTAGATTTCGGGGGTGTGGGGGCAGAGGAGAGGTGGGATATGTGTGAGATTGGCGGTGGCAGCAAGCACTGTAGGCTCGACTCTTCTTCTTCTTGTGTGTACAGAGCAAAGTGCCGTAGCCCCCTTGAGGGCCTCAGCCCGGGATTTCGCGTGGATGTGGGGGCGGAGGAAAGGTATAGCGCGGAGAGAGGGCAGAGAGCTAGAGAGAGCGCGCGAGAGAGAGGGCGAGAGAGAGAAAAGAACAAAGGATAGTGAGAGGGTGAGACAGACCGACAGAGATATAGCGAGAGATATTGGGTGCGAGAGCGAGCGAGACATAAATAGTGAGAGAGCGAGAGAAAGAGAGAGAGAGCGAGAGAGAGAGACCATAAGCTTTTCCTCCTCTTCATCTTTGAAATTCAGAGAAACTCAAAATATCCTGGGTTTACGAGCGCGAGAAATAGAGCGCGATAGAGTCAGAGAGAGAGAGAGAGAGAGAGAGCTAGCGAGAGACTGCAACATTTTTTGGGTCCCAAGCGGCGGGCGGGCCCAAAGAGACTGCAGGCCTGCCCCTAGAGAGCATGTCGAGACAAGAGAACCTAGAGAAAAGCTTCACCCTGTAGAAGCGGCCCTCCTCCCTCCCCTCCACGACCTATCCACCGGGTTGCCGGCTTCATTCCAGCCATCTTCCCCATCTTCCCTCCCTTCTACCCGGTGTGACCCGTTAGTGCGTCGTCAACCGCGGAGATGTCGCAGTGGTCCTCGTACGAGTCTGACCCAGGATGGCAATACCTGAAGCGCAGCCGCGAGCAGGAGCTCATTGTAAGTCGTTTTGACGTTAAAATTTCATCCGGCTCATCGAACCCTGAAGCTTTGTTGCAAACCGTTTTTTCTTAATTTTCCGCTTTGCTCCTTATTACTGTACCAATTTCTCGCGAATCACCTCGAAAAGCCCGGAAATTACCGTATCCTGCCATGGTTAGCCAGATTTCTGAAATTATCAAGCACCGAAAATCCGCTTTTCGAATTTTGAACAGTTTTGGTGCGGTTTTCCAATTACTTCTTACTCTACCGGACGGAATTAAAGGAGGACCACCTTTTAAGGCCGAAAATTACCTTACCCTCGCTTTACTATCAAGACCCCAGTTTTCATAGATTTGGAAATATCAATCTCACAATGCCATTTTCTCTAGTTTTGCTATCATTTTCTTACTGTAACCAATTTCTAGAATCGTAGACCCTCCTTCTACTAAAAATCTGCATAAAATTCTGTATCTCACGCTACTGTATCGTCCGGAATAAAAAAATGCCCATTTTTTGACTACAAGAGTGATTTCGCGAAACCTCCGTTTGTCCCATTCCCCTGTCGTTTTCTTACTGTAGCTCGCCTTCGTATCGCTTCAGCTTTTTGGTTTTTTTTGATTTGTACAGTACGCCTTTCCATACAAATTTGATAATTTGGTGCTACTTCCCTTCCAGGCTCCTTTAAAAATACAGGCGCCTAAGCTTAATATAAGCCAAGAACTAAGCCTAAGCCTAAGCCAAATCTGTTCCTACCCAAGTTAAACCCGCATCTTCCAGGACTCGTCGAAGCCGTACGACTCGAAGAAGTCGGTATGGATCCCGGATGCGGAGGAGGGATTCCTCCCCGCCGAGATCAAATCCACCAAGGGCGACACCGCCACCGTCGTCGTTGAGGGCACCGGAGCCGAGGTCATTTAGGAATTGATTCTCTAACTTTTCAAGTTATTTTCAGAAGACCCTGAAGAAGGATCTGTGCCAGGAAATGAACCCGCCAAAGTTCGAGAAGACCGAGGACATGTCCAACTTGACTTTCCTCAACGACGCGTCGGTGTTGCACAATCTGCGTGCCCGTTATGCTACCATGCTCATCTACGTGAGGCTTTATGGGTTTATTGTCGTAATACCCAAACTAATAATACCGAAAAATCGAATTTCCTCATCTTAATTTTATCGAAAAAAATTCTAGACGTTCTCCGGCCTGTTCTGCGTCGTCATCAACCCGTACAAGCGTCTCCCGATCTACACCGAGTCGGTGGCCAACATGTACATGGGAAAGCGCCGTACCGAAATGCCGCCCCATCTCTTCTCGGTCTCCGATGAGGCCTACCGTAACATGTTGATGGACCACGAGAACCAGTCCATGCTCATCACCGGAGAGTCCGGAGCCGGAAAGACTGAGAACACCAAGAAGGTCAGTCGTGCGATCTCGTAAAACCGTAGATCTCGCATGCGTTATTTAACGCGTAACATAGGTGTCTAGACCTAGAGAGTAGAAGGGGTCGCTTCTCAACCTTCCTGGTCCCTTCAACTCCCTATTTTCAGGTTATCTCCTACTTCGCGGCCGTCGGTGCCCGCCAAAACGAGGCCGAAGGCATCAAGAACGACGACGGAGCCAAGAAGGCCACCCTTGAGGAGCAAATTGTCCGCACCAACCCCGTGCTCGAGGCGTTCGGAAACGCGAAGACTGTCCGTAACAACAACTCTTCCCGTTTCGGAAAGTTCATCCGTATCCACTTCTCGCGCTCCGGACGTGTCGCCTCTTGCGATATTGAGCACTACCTGCTCGAGAAGTCGCGTGTCATCCGTCAGGCGCCGGGAGAGCGGTTGGTTTTAGGTTCAAGGAGCTCGTGCTCATTTATTGACGCGCTAGTTCTCACGCGCTCTCTCGATCTCTCTCTCACTCTCTTTCTCTCTCGCGCTCTCTCTCTGTTCACTTCACCGTGTCACTCGCGCTCTCTTATCATTTTCTCACTCGCTCTCTCTCTCACTCTCACCCCTTCTCTCTTTCTCTCTCACGCTCCTGCTCACACTCTTTCTCACACTCGCGCTCACTCTCGCTCTCACAAACTTCTTCTCACAAACTCTCTCAGACTCCTGCAGAAACTCTCTTTCTTTCGCGCTCTCACTCACACTCCCTCACTCTGTCGTTTGCTCTCTCTCTCCCTCTCTCTCTCCTTCTCTCTCTCTCTTTGTCTCTTCTCTCTGCTATGCCTGCCACTTCCTCTCGCTCTCACCTTTTAAACATCGCTATTTTCCAGTTGCTACCACATCTTCTACCAAATCTTCACCGGATACGTCAAGGGACTGAAGGAGAAGCTCATCCTCGACAAGCCGATCACCGAGTACTGGTTCGTCGCCCAAGCCGAGCTGACGGTCGATGGTATTGATGATGTGGAGGAGATGCAGGCCACCGAGGAGTCCTTCGACATCCTCAACTTCACCCCCGAAGAGAAGTACGACTGTTACCGCCTGATGGCCGCCCATATGCACATGGGATGCATGAAGTTCAAGCAACGCCCGCGCGAAGAACAGGCTGAACCTGATGGACAGGAGGGAGCCGAGAAGGCCTGCAAGAACTATGGTGTTGATGTTGATCAATTCATCAAGGCCTTGGTGTCCCCGCGTGTCAAGGTGAGGAGGGCTTTAAGCGCGTCAAGTTGGACAAGTTCATGCAGACTAGCAAAAAATCATTAAAACGTTGGGTTCAAGGCGTTCAGGTCAAACTAGCAACAACGCCATTAGAACGTCGGCGGATAACTAGCAGGGAGCTTTAGAGCAGCAACGCCGGGTTCTAGACGTTTAGCGCAGCCTTGCAAAGGTTCACTGGAGAACGACAAGTTCAAGGTGTTTAGCGCAAACCTGCAGAGATTATTGTAGCAGCTAATTCCTTATATTTACTGACCAGGTAGGGATCTAGGGAACCGCCGAGTTCAAGACGTTCAGGGCAGCTTAGCATAGCAATTCAAAAAATTATGATTTTCTTGGCAAGCTAGCAGAGACCGTTTGTGAATTGGGGATTCAAACTTTTCTAGGCAAATCGCGCCTGGCGAACCGAACCTCAAGTTCAAGACGTTTAGAGCTAGTTATCAAAGATCACCTGCGGAATTAGGAAGTGAAATTCGGTACTTGCACATTATCGGGAGGGGGACAATTAAGCCCCCCCCCCCGATAATGCAAAAGCACCAAAAATTCAACCACGTGCGGGCTAGCAAATTCCTAGGGAAAATTCGCTAAAAACAAGCTAAACCCACCAATTTCAGGTCGGATCCGAATGGGTGACGAAGGGCCAGAACGTCGACCAGGTCAACTGGGCCATCGGGGCCATGGCCAAGTCGCTGTACGCCCGCGTGTTCCACTGGATCGTCAAAAAGTGTAACGAGACCCTGGATCAACAGGGTATCAACCGTGACCACTTCATCGGTGTGCTCGACATTGCCGGCTTCGAAATCTTCGACTTCAACAGCTTCGAGCAGTTGTGGATCAACTTTGTGAACGAGAAGCTCCAGCAGTTCTTCAACCACCACATGTTCGTCCTCGAGCAGGAGGAGTACGCCAGGGAGGGCATCCAGTGGACGTTCATCGATTTTGGACTTGACCTCCAGGTGAGTGACAGCGGGGCAGGGGGTACTGTAGCGGTACTGTAGTTAACTGTAGGGTAGCCAGATTTGGGATATACGGTAACCGGCGGCGGTAGATTACGGTAGATGGCGATGCGTAGCAAGATACTGGAATTACTACTGTAGCGTACTGTTGCGTACTGTAGCGTACTGTAGCGTACTGTAGCGTACTGTAGCGTACTGTAGCGCACATAAGCGTACTGCGGCGTACCGTAGCATACTGTAGCGTGTTTTGCAACAGACCAGTAATATCTTGATTTTCAACATAGTACTTTAATGAATACTGTAGCATAATACTGTAGCGTACTGGAGGCTTTCGTAGCGAGTACTGTAACGTACTGTAGCGTGTATTAAAACAAAGTAATATAACGTACTGCGATGGACTACAGTAACATAGTACTGTAGCGTAGCGTAGCGTGGTGGGGTACTGTGGATTACTGTAATGGGTGTATTTTTAATAATTTTTAAAATTATGTAAATTCGTGATTTTCAAGCGTTTTTAAGGTCAGAATCCTTTGTATGATTTTATTAGAGAATTTTTAGCGCGATTCAAATTATCCCAAATTTTCCAGGCTTGCATCGAGCTGATCGAAAAGCCGCTGGGTATCATCTCCATGTTGGACGAGGAGTGCATCGTGCCAAAGGCCACCGACATGACCCTCGCGCAGAAGCTGAACGACCAGCACCTCGGCAAACACCCCAACTTCGAGAAGCCCAAACCGCCAAAGGGCAAGCAGGGCGAGGCCCACTTTGCCATGAGGCATTACGCCGGAACTGTGCGCTACAATGTGCTGAACTGGCTGGAGAAGAACAAGGACCCCCTCAACGATACTCTTGTCGGAGTGATGAAGGTGTCGAAGGGCAACGAGTTGTTGAGGACTGTCTGGGCCGATTATCAGACCCAGGAGGAGGCCGCTGCCGCGCAGAAGGGTACGGTATTTTTGGTGTTTTTAGGGTTCAAAAACACAAAATTTGGACGAATTGTAGCGGGACTTGGTCGGCCCTGGGGGGGGACTGGGCTGTGGCGTGAAAAGGCCGTCCCTCAATCAATACTCGCTTGTGCTGGTGGTTGATTGGTAAAGCTCTCGGTTCATAGTCGTAGAGTCCGGGTTCGAACCCCGGCCTGAGCAAAACTTTTTGCTTTTTGGCCAAAACCTACTATCATCTTTTTTGAGCCTTTTTATTCTTTACTGTGATTTAAAATAGAATATACGGCCTAGAATTAAAAAAAACACATAAAAGATCAGTAAGCTAAAATTAAAAATTGTGACCATTTTTCACTTTTTTCAGCCGGCGGTGAGCGCAAGAAGGGCAAGTCCGGCTCCATGATGACGGTGTCGATGGTGTACCGCGAGTCGCTGAACAAGCTGATGGACATGTTGCACAAGACCCACCCCCACTTCATCCGTTGCATCATCCCCAACGAGAAGAAGCAGTCCGGCATGCTCGACGCGGCCCTGGTCATGAACCAGCTGACCTGCAACGGTGAGTTCTAGGAGGTGACCAAGAAGTTGGGCAGGTTTAAAGGGACGGGAAAGCGACCTATGGTTTTAGTGCGGGCGAATTCATAGTAAGACATGCCGTGCCGAGGCCTTTAAAACATCAGCGTCATCGAGCAGTTCACCCCCAAACCTCTAAAACCCGGATTTCCAGGTGTGCTCGAGGGTATCCGTATTTGCCGCAAGGGATTCCCCAACCGTACCCAACATCCCGATTTCGTCCAACGCTACGCCATCCTCGCCGCCAACGCCGCCAAGACGTCCAAGGACGACCCGAGGATGAACGCCGAGGCCATCATGATGCAGCTGCAGAATGAGAAGAAGATCACCGAGGAGCAGTACCGTGTCGGCCACACCAAGGTCTTCTTCAAGGCCGGAGTCGTTGCCCACATTGAAGATCTGCGTGACGAGAAGCTCGCCGAAGTCATCGGCCTCTTCCAGGTAGAGATTTATTCAAAAAGGGTGCTTTTCCATTATCAGGGGGGCTAAGGAAAACAAATTCTAAATATTTTTATTAACAGATTCGCTTCATTTCATCATCATTTCCAGGCCCGCATCCGCTTCTACTTCGCCACCGCCGACTCGGATGATCGTCGCCGTCAACTGAACGGCTACGTGATCGTGCAGAAGAACATCCGCACCTGGTCCGTCCTCCGTACCTGGGATTGGTACAAGCTGTTCGGCAAGATCCGCCCGCAGCTCAAGTCCGGCAAGCAGGCCGAGGAGATGGCCAGGCTGTCCAAGGAGGTCAAGGAACTCGAGGGACAGGTGGCAAAGTCGGAGGCCGAACGGAAGGCGGCCGAGGAGGTGTACAACAAGCTGCACGCCGAGAAGCAGCGTCTGCTCGAAGCCCTTGAGGCCTGCGCCGGAGGTGGCGCAGCGGTTGAGGCGAAGCTGAACAAACTGAATGCTAGCAAGAACGAGTTGGAGAAGGGGCTGTCTGACTTGAACGACAAGCTCTCGGCTCAAGAGGAGAGGAACTCCCATTTGAACAAGGAGAAGAGGAAGGCCGAGATGGAGGTCGAGAACATGAAGAAGGCCATCGACGGAGTAGAGGCCTCGATCCAGAGAACCGAGGAGGAGAAGCAGGCCAAGGACAACCAGATCCGCTCCCTTCAAGATGAAATGAACGCCCAGGATGAGTCGATCGCCAAGCTCAACAAGGAGAAGAAACACCAAGAGGAGGCCAACAGGCAGCTCACTGAGGATCTCCAGGCCGAAGAGGCCAAGACCGCCCAGGTCAATCGACTGAAGCAGAAGCTCGAGTCGACCCTGGATGAGGTTGAGGAGAGTGTGGAGAGGGAGAGGAGGATCAGGGCTGATGTGGAGAAGGCGAAGAGAAAGGTTGAGGGAGAGCTGAAGGCCGCTCAGGAGAACATCGATGAGATGCTGAAGATCAAGGCTGATGCTGAGGGATCGTTGAAGGTGGGTTAAATAGGTTGAATTTATTTTTCTCTTGCTCGCTTGCTGACTCTCTCTCTAGGATTCTCTCGTGCTCACTTTCTCTATCCCTCATTCTCTCTATCTCTCTCTATCTCTCTCACGCTCTCTCTCGTTCTCTCTCTCTCTCGCTCTCTCTCTCCTCTCTCTCGCACCAAAAAATTTTAGAACCTTGAAATGACTCTCAGAAATCCATCCCCTTTCAGAAGAAGGAAACCGACCTCCACGCCCTCGGCGTCCGCCTCGAAGACGAACAAGCCCTATCCGGCCGTCTCCTCCGCCAACAAAAGGAGAATGCCCAACGTCTCCAAGAGATGGAGGACGAGCTCGAACACGAACGCCAAGCCCGCTCCAAGGCCGACCGCGCTCGCGCCGAACTGCAACGCGAACTCGACGAACTGAACGAGCGCCTCGACGAGCAGAACGGCAACTGTGAAGCCCAGATGGAGGTGAACAAGAGGAAGGACTCCGACCTCGCCAAGGTCCGCCGCGAGTTGGACGAGCTCAACATGGGCCATGAGGATCAACTGGCCTCCTTGAGGAAGCGCAACAACGACCAAGTCGGAGAACTGACCGCCCAGCTCGAGAATCTGCAGAAGAACAAGTCGAGAATCGACAAGGAGAAGACCATCCTCCAGAAGCAGCTCGATGACATCAATACCAACGTCGACAACGAGACCAAGGCCCGCGCTGAGCAGGAGCGACTTGCCAAGACCTATGAGATCCAGGTGGCTGAGCTCCAGGCTAAGGTGGATGAGCAGACCCGTCACATCAACGAGTACAGCACGTCCAAGTCCCGCCTTGTCGTCGACAACACCGATTTGGCACGCACTGTCGAGGAGCTCGAGACGCAGCTGAACACCCTGACCCGCGCGAAGGCCGCCTACAGCTCGCAGCTGAACGAGGCGAAGAAGTCGCTCGATGAGGAGAGCCGCGAACGCCAGGAGCTGAACGTGCAGTCAAAGAACCTGCAGCACGAGATCGAACAGGCCCAAGAACTGCTTGAGGAAGAAGCTGAACAACGCTCCGACCTCCAGAAGCAGCTGTCGAAGATGAATTCCGAGATTCAGCAGTGGAAGGCGAAGTATGAGGGCGAAGGACTTGTCGGAGCTGACGAGGTCGAGGAGACCAAGCGCAAGCAGAACATGCGCATCTTCGAGCTCCAAGATCTGCTCTCTGCCGCCAGCCAGAAGATCTCCATGCTGGAGAAGGCCAAGGGCAGATTGATGCAGGAGACCGAGGAGGCCCGCTCTGACGTTGACCGGCATCTGACCGTCATCGCCGCCCTGGAGAAGAAGCAGAAGGCGTTCGACAAGATTGTCGAGGACTGGAAGAGGAAGGTTGATGATGTGCAGAAGGAGATTGACGCCACGACCCGTGACTCGCGCTCCACTTCGACTGAGGTGTTCAAGCTCAAGTCGGCCATGGATGCCTTGACCGACCAGATTGAGGCCCTGAAGAGGGAGAACAAGGGATATACCCAGGAGATCAGGGATATCAACGAGCAGATTGGACTTGGTGGAAGGACCTACAACGACGTCTTGAAGCTGGTCAAGAGGTGAGAAAAGGATTAGTTGAGCATAACCCTAAGCCTAAGCCTAGCCTAAGCCTAAGCCTAAGTCGAAGTCGTTCTAATTTCCGCTTTCCAGGCTCGAGATCGAGAAGGACGAGCTCCAGCACGCTTTGGATGAGGCTGAGGGTGCTCTGGAGGCCGAGGAGAGCAAGGTAAGTCTAAGCCTAAAGCTAAGCCTAAACTAGGCCTAAGCCCAAACCCAAGCTAAGTCGAAGCCCAGCCTAAGCCTAAACTTCTTCATCACATCCCATTTCCAGGTGCTCCGCCAACAGATCGAAGTCCAACAGATCCGCTCCGAGGTCGAGAAGCGCATCCAGGAGAAGGAGGAGGAGTTCGAGAACACCCGCAAGAACCACCAACGCGCCGTCGAGAGCATCCAGGCATCCCTTGAGGTTGAGGCCAAGACCAAGGCCGAGCTTATGAGGGTCAAGAAGAAGTTGGAGGGAGACATCAACCAGCTCGAGATCATGCTCGATCACGCCAACAAGGCTAACGTCGAGGCACAGAAGAGCATCAAGAAGATGTTGGAGTTGGTCAAGGAGCTGCAGGGACAGGTTGAGGACGAGCAGAAGAAGCGCGAGGAGTTGAGGGAGAACTATCTGTCGGCTGAGAAGAGACTGGCTGTGGCGTTGTCTGAGCAGGATGACCTTGCTCAGAGGATTGCTGTCGCTGACAAGCAGAAGAGGCAATTGGAGTCGGACATGGCCGATCTCAAGTCGTCCAACACGGAGCTGATCGCTGGAAACGCGGCTGTGTCGGCGATGAAGAGGAAGGTTGAGAATGACGTGCAGATTGCCAAGGTGAGCATGAATCTCTGTCTGTCACTCTGACGCTCTCTCTCTCTCACTCTCTCTCGCTCTCTATCTCTCTGTCATCAACATTATCTCTAATTTCAGAACGAGCTCGATGAGATCCTGAACGAGCTGAAGACCTCGGAAGAGCGATCCCGCAAGGCCATGGCTGATGCTGCCCGTCTCCAGGAGGAGGTCAAGCAGGAGCAAGACCACGCCGCCCACGTCGACAGGTCATCGTCTACTTTTTCCTAAATTTATCTCTTTTTTTTCAGACAACGCAAGGGACTTGAGATGACCATCCGCGACCTGCAGCTCAAGATGGAGGAGGCCGAGCAGGCTATGATCAAGTGTACGTTCTCAGGAAGAACCGGGGTTTTCAATGAGTTCAAAATTGGTTGGAATCGATAAGTTGATGGTTTTCTGGAAGCCACGCCCCTTTTTCCGTGCGAGTACGCGACATTCCGCTCGTACAGCTCAATTCTGTGCGCTTCTAGCTACTTAGGTATTCGGGCTGTAAAAGGCCATGCTCAGGAGTAAGCCTAACCCAAGCACAGGCCAAGCCTAAGCCAAACATAAGCCTAAGCTTAAGCCAACGTAAAGTCTAAGATAAGCTAAGCTTAAGCTAAGCCAAGCCTAAGCTTAGCCTAAGCCTAAGCCCCAATCCTAAGCCCTCTTTTCAGACGGCCAGAAGGCTCTCTCCAAGATGGAGGACCGCATCCGTTCGATCGAGGGCGAGCTGAAGAACGAGAAGATCCGCCACCAAGAATCCGTCAAGGGCGTCACCAAGCAGGAGAGGCGCGTCCGCGAGCTCCAGTTCCAGGTATGGATTTCCCTTCAATGGCCCTTTCAAGCGTTCTATTTCCAGGTGGAAGAGGACAAGAAGGCGTTCGATCGTCTCCAGGAGCTCGTCGAGAAACTCCAGCAGCGCATCCGCGTCCAGAAGAGGCAGATCGAGGAGGCGGTAAGGAGTTCAACTTTTTAGGGCTGTTTTCAACGAGTTCAGGCTCAATTTAAGTTATTTAAAAATGGACTAGATGCAGAATTTTGCGTAGATTCCATATATGTGGTCAATAACGCAAAATTTTGGATATTTCGATATCAAATACGGTAAAAACAGCATAAAAACGATGTTCTGTCTAAAAAAAAAACATTTTTTGAGCGTTTTTTTATAAAATTTTCTGATTCTTAAGCTGGTATCCGTGCAGAATTTTGTGTAGGGTCCGAATAGCTATTCGAAACACGATAATTTTACATATTTACCCCATTATGCTCATTCCAAACCGCTGGAAAATGTAAAAATTTCTACTTTGAAACGATTTTAACGAATTTAGATCAATTCGACGATTGTTTCAAAATTAGTCCTACCTAAATCGTGGTGTAGATTAAATAACCGATTTACCATTCAAAAAATTACGTGATTTCACGCAAAATTCAACAAAAAAATTGGAATGCAAATCTCGTGACGCACAAGCCGAAACAACCAGAAAAAAATGTTACAAAAAAAAATATTTTAAACAAATTTTTTGGTTAATTGGATTTTTTAAGGCATATTTTAAAAAAATCTGGGCTGTTTTTAACGTATCAGTGCGGAAAAAACCCTCTAATTTTGCAGGAGGAGGTCGCCACCTCAAACCTCTCCAAGTTCCGCCAAATCCAGCTGGCTTTGGAGTGTGCCGAGGAGCGCGCCGATGTTGCTGAAAACTCTCTGGTGAGTCGCCCAAAGCCAACCAATTAGGCCATGATATCTTCGTGATAAATCGATATTTCTGTATTCACCAATGGGCACCCCCTCTTTTTAGCACACAGTGTTTCAGAAAAGGAGAAAAGATCTATTGGCAGGTGGGAAATACGAACCTATACCCCCAAAATATTCCCCCGATTTTTGTTGCTTGTAAACGGTTGGGAGCTGGGAGCTGGGAGCTAAATAAAACAAGAAACAACCGCTGCGCAACCGCGACGCGTGGAAATTATATACCGTAAATCATTAGTTTTAAGACGCGACGCGTAGAAAACAATTTGCAAAACACAATTCATGATAGGGCGCCGCGACGCGGCCTCGACGCGTAAAAATGTGAAAACCGGGGATGCGCGACACGCGACGCGTGAAAAGTTTCAGGAGCCGCGAAGCAGCCGTGACGCGTAGGAATTTTACTGAAAACGTAGCCGCGGCGCGTGAAAAAAACGTACAGACCCACGACACACACGCGACGCGTGGAAATTTGTAAGCATACTTTTTGGCATCTTTCGGCCACGAAAAACGAGATTAGCCAGCCGTGACGCAACCGCAACGCGTAGGAGTAATAACGCGATCAAATAACTTACAAAACTTTGACCGTGACGCAAGCCCCACGCGTAGATAATTCTGAAGCATGACCGCAACGCAATCGCAACGTATACACACACGTTCTATTTGAAAATTTTTTTTTGAATCGATTTTGGCGGGCTTGGCCGCAACGCAGACGTGGCGCACGCGACGCGGAAGTTTTGCTTACCATGTGTTTTTATCAACCCGTAAACCGCAAAATGCAGGCAGCAACGTAACGCGACCGCGGCACACGCAACATCAACACTACGAACGCGATGCGTTAAATTTTACTCTGGATACCGGGTTCTGAATACCTTAAAAATGACGCAACGCAACAGCACAGCTCTATGCTCCATCAGCTCCCAGCTCCCATCCTATTTTTACAAGCAGCTCCCCACCCTCGAGTTTTTGGTTTTTCATTCATTTGGTTGGAATGACCCTCGCATTACCCCCCGAATTCCCTGAAAATTTCCCCCGATTTTTGTGAAACCCTTCCCCACCACGAAATTCTATTAAAATATTTTTATTATTTAATTTGTTAAAAACCCAACCCAACTTCCCCCACCAAAATCATAATCTTCAAGAATTTACCGTAATTTTGGGTGTGCTCGGGGTCCCGCGGCGTGTGATTTTGGCTGGTTCCGATTTTTGAGGAGTTTTTAAAGGGACTAGGAAGCCAGAATTTCCTATGGTTTTTTTATGGTCCTGATTTAATAAATAGCGATTTTCTAGCCATCCAAGCCTAAGCTAGGCTTAGGCCTAAGTCTAATTCTTAGCCTAAGCCTCAGTTGAGCTTACACCTAAGCTTAAGCATACGCATACGCACAAGCCAAAGCGACGCCCAAGCGTAGCCTAAGCAAAGCCTAAGACTGTGCCTAAGCGAAGCATAAGCGAAGTCTAAGCTTAAGCTAAAGCCTAAGTCTAAGCCTAGGCTTAGTCGACGCCTAGGCCTAAGCCCAAGCCTAAGCGAAGCCTAAGTCTAAGTCAAAATCTGAGCCCAAGTCAAGCATCAGTTTAAGCTGAGCTTAAGCCAAGCAAAGCCTAAATCAAGCCTAAGTCATGCTCATTTCAAGCGTAGGCCTAAGCCGTTAGGCGTATAAGCAAATCCCTAGACTTCAGAGCCCCTTTAAAATCCGGAACCATGTCAAAATCTCCGCTAAAATCCCTCAAAAATCCGCATAATTTGCATAATTTTCAGGTCAGAATGCGGTCAACGAAGCGACTGAATGAGGACAAGTAGATGCGAAGAAATCAGACTCCTTTCCTTTCCGTCCATAGGTGTACTTCGTTGCAAAAAACTGTCCACCCCAAATATGCCTAATTTTTATTAAAAAATGGATCTTTTCTGTCTGTTACTTTCCCCCAGAGGATTCCCCAAAGTGTGTGTGCTGGATGGCGCGCCACTCCCCTACCGTTAGTTGAGCTTTTTTGTATTTTTTCACTAGAAAAAACCCCACCCTTTCTTCATCAATCTTTTCCCTCTCTACCATTCTGCTTGTCTCTCGGTTTTGCGAATTTTGTAGTATATTTTTTTATCAATTTTGCATTATCGATCGAGACTTGAGCGGCGCTGGTTTTGGGGGGAGTGTTTTTGAATAAAGGGTGCCGGAGAGAGGAGAGACATCGGTCTGACACGCTATAAAAATGCATCGAAGAATTAGCTACACGTTGCGTTTGCGTTGCGCGCTGCGTTGACGCTGCGTTACGGTTACGTTACGCGTTGCTTTGCGGAAAGGTTACGGTCCCGTTGCGGTGGCACGGTTGCGCTGCGCGTTGCGTTCACGCGCAGCGCTGCGTCGCGTCGCGGAGGCAGAGTAAAGCGATTTTTCCTAATTTTGCCTTTTGCTGTCAACCTGTAGTTAAGCTACAAAAGCTACTATTTCAAGCCACGAGGTCCGACGGATTTCAAGCGTCACGTTTGCGGCGCGCTCATACATTTTTTGCTTCTAGCTCCCAACTCCCAATTGCCTGCCTGCCTCCAAATCCAGGAATTTCTGGCTTTTTTAAAACTCAACGAAGCATTAGCGTTTTACGTCGCGCCGCTCTCTTGCTTCCGCATTTCGCATTCGGTTTGCGCTTTGCGACTGAGTTACGAGGCGATATGGTAGCTTTCATTTCTTGTTGGATTTCGATGTCCCATTGAAAAACGAAGAGCTCATGAAGCGTTTCTCGGATTCCTCAAAGTCCTCTGCTAGCTTTCCAGCCAAAGAAAACCTTTAAAAAAATCGATCGATCGTAGACGCGCTTGATAGAACTCGCTGGTTCACGGCGATCCTTGGGACACTCAAGTTTGGCCGCGTTTTTTCGATAATATCTCTCTCTCTCTCGCTCCCTCGCTCTCTCACTCTATCACCCATCTTCCAAGAATCCGTGGGCAAACAGATGCCGACAGTTTAACGAAGGATAAGACCTCAAAGATATCTGAGGCCTTGCGCAAGAGGGTCGAAATTAAGGTTTTCAAGGGACCGCCAAGTTCTGAAAACCTAAAAAATGACATTTATCTCACAATGTAATGGCGTAACCCGAAATAATTGCACAATATGTGAATTCGGAAGGGAGAGAGAGAGAGAGAGAGAGAGAGAGAGAGAGAGAGAGAGAGAGAGAGAGAGAGAGAGAGAGAGAGATTTAGAATGCCGTTGCCCTGGGGCGAATATGATGCCAAGACGCTTGTTGTGTCTGTTCTCCACGTCCAATTCTGAGCCATTGGCCCAACTCTCGGCCGGCAGTTTTGGGTCCCAGCGTCACGTGGCCCATCGATCTGGAAAAACATGGTTAATAAGAGGATTTTTATCTCCAGCAGACATTCTCAAGAAAGGGCCGTCTAGCAGCGAGTCCTAGAGACAGGTGAGCTAGCATAGATTCTTGACAAAAAAAAGGCTTGCAAAGGTTCTTGGGGGAAAGGCGATCTAGCAGGGATTCATGGGGGAAAGTAGGAACCTAGCAGGGTTCTTTCAGCCTAATTTTTTTACAAACCTGGGCGGGCCGCCATTTTTGTCGGAGCACACGACCGAGAGTCGGATATGGCTTTTCTAAAAAATTTTTAGAATTTTTTAAAGGTGAGATAAATACCATGAGCTTTTGTCTAGGAATTGGGACGAAGAGGCTCTCCATGAATGACGCTGATCCAGCTTCAAGTTTCCTCGTCGAAGTCTTCTTTTTAAGGACTTTTCCCATTGGTTGGACGACGTAGACGCGGATGAATGCATCTGAAGCACCGACGTGTGCCAGGATGGCACGTTTTTAAAGGGATGCCGACGGCATAGTCAACCGGTTACGTGTTGGAAAGAAAATGTCTCTGCGCCCCCTCCCCACGGCGCGCTCTTTGCCCTGTTGGCTACTTGCCAATTTGTTGATGGGGGGATCGACTCATGCCGTCGGCAACACTGTGAGGGTACAAAAAACGCCCTGAAGGCTTCTTTGAAAACTATGCCCCTTCCGGTGCTAAATTACGGCTGATACCTAATTAGAGTACCGTACTGGGACTCCAAAACACACCTGTATACGATCCATCTAAATGTCGAACTTTCGACAGTACGATCGACAACCGATCGGCAGCGAAATTCACGAGGAACAGGATCTCTCCAAGTGACACAGGCGAGAACTCGTCCATTGGGCTCTAAAATCCGCTAATTACCACCGTATACCAGCCTACCCTCGTTCGATTCGGCGCCAAGGTCAGGCTCAACGTCGGCCCCATGTTCAGCTCCAAATCTTTGATTCTCAACCGGCAAGATCCGACCACGTTTGCTGATAAGCCATGGGAGGAATAGAGCTGTACCAGAAGGGCTATCTAAAGAATCGATTGATGCCATCCTACAGTACACTTTCACCTTATACCTAGCCCTTGAAAAACTTCAATACTGCCTTACAGGCCCCTTTAAATGGTCTCGGCTAGCTCACCTTTGACAAATCGGATCGACGGACGCACTGCTGATAGATGGAGTGGTATTCGATGTAAGGGGAGTTCAGTTTGACCGCCTAAATTCAGGGAAATATAGAAAAATTTGCTCTCTCTGTCTCTCGCTCTTGCTCTCTACCTTTCTCATACGCTCTCTTCTCTCGCTGGCTTGATCTTTGTGTTGCTACGTGCCTCCAAGTGGGGAGAGAGACAACGCGCGAGAGAAAGAGAGAAAGAGAGGGAAAAAAGGAAGATAGGTGGAAGGATATAGACCGGAAAGGAGAGCCGGAAAGATAATGATATCGATAGAAAAAATAGAAGTGAGAGAGAGAGACGTGAGAGTAGTAGTAGACCTATTAGTCTGTTACCCACCTCCGTACGCCACAATGGCTTCGAGTGTGGTAGCAGGAAAAACAGCATCCACAGCTGTGCCCCGTCCACAGGACAGTCTTGTAGCGAGTGTATCTGGCAAGACAGCATTTGCGAGGGGCTTAAAGATCATTAATTTGGGTTTTCCGGTAATTTCTAACTTACAGATCATAAGTCAGGGTTAAAGAAACGCTAGGAATATCCTGATTGACCTCCATCAGGCTTGAAGCTGTCGAATCGACGCTTTCGGTGGATTGGGCGCGGCGGAGGGTGGAGTTTGTAGTTTCGATGCAACGCTCTGGAAAGAATTTATTTTAGGGCTTCCTAGAGGATCTAAGATAGCTTGCCTATGATGAATTGAGCTCCTGACAAATTTCTGCTGGCCAAATTCCTCATCAAAATTCCAAAATATACTCTGCTAGCCTGCCCTATTGAATTTCACTTGCAAACCAACTTTGCAGCCCATTTCATCTTAAATCCCAAAGAATCTTTGCTAGCTTGCCAGGGCGGGATTTCAAGCTTGTGCGTAAAATTCGATCCTAAAGAATCTCTGCCAGCCTACCACCTACCTTCATCCCGATGTTCCACTTTATGAACGTGCGGTTGATCATCTACTGGCACCACCTCAAGCGTACAGTGTATCTGAATAGATTTTAAAGGAGTGGTGAAGCCAGAAAAACCTCCTCGGCCGGAACAAGATACTGTCGTTTTGTGGTCTCTAGTTGAGTGGGCGATTCTTCCATCCGAGCCAAGCTTTGCAGGCGCTCCAGGGACTCTTGGAATTTTGTCGTGAAGCGATCGGTGCTTTGGCTGAAATATCGGGCTTTAGCTTATCAAAATTACGACTTAATTTACGCAAAATAGAGGTTATTTTTCTACCGTATACCTAGGAAAATCGCGGTAATCACATTTTCGGCTGAAATTTTTGGAAAATCAGTCTAATCAGACGTTCAGAACTTCCATTACAGTATATATTTTAAACTGGCCGGTAAATCCATGCATTTTTGCCTCAAATTGACGTAAATTTGCCACTTTGGATTTTCTACAGGGCCTTTTTACCGTATGCCGACAAAAAGCCTTTAGAAACGTAAATTTCTGCGTGCGTAAAAATCAGCCATTCAGGTTTCTACCGTAAGCCTACAACAATCCTTCAAAAAGTGTCATTTTTGGCCTGAAAAACATTGGAAATGAACTTTTCACGTTAGTCGAACTCCTGTAGATTGTAAAAAATGTTCTGTTTTCGCCTTTAAAACCGGCTTAGATATGGATTCTTGAATTTCTACAGTACCTGCCTACGGAATTCCTAAAAAAAACCAGAAGAAAAGCAACTTTCAAGGCCAAAAATGGACCGGAAATCCAGGTTCGACCAAAACTCAGGCCAGCATAAGGGAATGACTTCTCAGGAGGGGGAGATCCTCCCTCCAAGAAGTCATTAGTTTCGTTGCGGACTTCTCTTCTCTTGGCAGGCCCGCCCAAAGCCGGGCTTTCGATTTATTTTTTGGTGGGGGCAGCTCCAGCTCCCAAGGGGAAGGCTTTTCATTAATAGAAAGGGTCCCTATTTCAATGGGACCTGCCAAAAAAGGGCTGAAAGGCCCACCTGGGTTGGAGGGGAACATCCCCCATCCCGGACGACGGCTTCTGTTCGTTCGCTAGGATTCCGCGACACTCGTCGGAACTCTCCTGGAAATGGGATGTTTTAAAGGGACGGGTAAGGCTAGTTTATGGATTTTGGTGGCCACAGGGTTCTAAAGAATTTTCTCGATTCCATCGCGTAACGGATTAGAAATCAGAAACTGCATTTTAAAGGGGCCGGCAAGGCATGGCATTGCTATGGTTTTTGCCTCCTTTGGATTCCCTCATGCTCTCTGCTAGGCTCTTTTATTCGGTCCCTCGCTCTCCCTCTCTCGCCCTCTCTCTCCCTCTCGCTCTCTCTCTCTCTCCTTTAGACCAGGTAATCCATTTTTTTCCCGAAAATGTGAGCACCAAGGATCTCTGCTAGCCTGCCTGATCCAAGTCTGGATATTTTTAACGGGATCGGCAAGGTCAGACACCCTGCCGGAATCTATAAATCGGTAACTCCATAAATACCTTTCCGCTCCCTTTAAATGCCCTTATTAATTTTGGTGAGCTTTAGCGCAAAGAATCTCTGCTCGCCTGTCTACCTCTAAGTGTGCCCATCTGAAGCCTTTCCGGGCCCGGAATAGGGAGAGAAATTGGGTCTGGCCGATGAGGAGCACCACCAAGGCGACGAGGATCAGGACAAGTCCCATCAAAAGTAGCTGGGTACCGATGTCCATTCTCTAAAAAAATGCAAGTGATAGAGTGAGACAGACAGGGAGAGCGCAAAATAGAGAGAGAGGGACAGAGAGAGAGAGAGAGAGAGAGAGAGAGAGAGAGAGGGCGAGAGCGAGAAACATTGCCACCATTCCAAAAACCTCCTAAATTCCAGCCGATCCCATCTAAATTCTCTAGCTCATTTTTTTTACTGGCAATTCCTATAGAGCCCTTTACACACAAGAAACAGGCCCCTCTTGGTCCGCTATCTGGAGCTGAATAATTGAATTATTTGCCCCCGGTACCGCCGCCACACACAACCCAACAGAATTCTAGCCCCGAAAAAACCTAGCCCGTCATGGTTTGGAAATGCAGAAGAGACAGAGGCGAGAGAGAGAAAGAGAGATGGAGAGAGAGAGAGATTCCAAACAGCAGGTCGAAAATCGCCTTTCCGTACAATTTTTGTCCGACACGAGTTGTATCTCGGAAATGGGACTCTCGCGTAGGTCGAATTTCCGGTCAATAAGGTCTCGTTTCGGCTATCTTTAGATATTTAGCAATAGACACTTGCAAAGAGCTGAATTAGCTTCAGAGAATCTCTGCTATCCTGCCGAAACCATTTCCTAGTCCCTTTAAGCTCGCAATCGATCTAGTTTCTGCAAATAGCAGCTCAAAGGACCGCTGCTGGCTGGCCTGACAAGGAGACGTTTTTGAGTGTCGTCGGGACTTTGGCACGGGACCAAGCCTATCTTGTGCAAAATTTTACGCTGATTTCGAATATGTTAACCGTTTTTGCGGAATAGCCATTTCTCGAAAGTCACCGCAAAACAGCCCAAAATCGGCTACTTTCAATAGTCATAAAAAGGCTTCAAAATAGGTTTTAGACAAAACCAGGTAGTGCATCTTGTTCAGAAAAAATTCTCTATAAAATGTACCATCTTTTTCAAAATCATTGAAAAGTTGGAAAAATTTGATAAATTGGGAGGTCCATAATTTTACAAAAATTTTCAAAATTCCAGCATTTTTGAGTTAAGTGGCTTATTTTATAGAGAATTTTTTTCTGAACAAGATGCACACTCAAGTTTTGTCTAAAACCTATTCCGAAGCCTTTTTATGACTATCGAAAGTAGCCGATTTTGGGCTGTTTTCATGTTTAAATCGTTCATAACTTTCGAGAAATGGCTATTCCGCAAAAACGGTTAACATATTCGAAATCAGCGTAAAATTCTGCACAAGATAGGCTTGGTCCTGTGCCAAACTCCCGACGACACTCAAAAACGTCTCCTTGTGAGCGGCTCTCGCACCCCGTTAAAGGAACGGGCAAGGCAGTGCTATGGATTTTGCGGCAACATTGACAAATCCAAAAAAACTAAGCTAAAAAGACATAATTTTGCTTTTTAGGTCTTATCGGTACGGTAAAAGACGTAAGGAAGAAGGTAAGACACGGCAAAAGACGGAATGGAATCCATGGAAAATCACCGTGATCAAAGCATCCCTGCTAGTCTGCCCGATTCCTGACTTGCCAGGTCCTTTAAAATCAGTTCAGAAGCTACTGAAAATGCCATTATTCCTCAAAAATCTCTATTAGCCTGCCCAGTACCTCAAAAACCGCCAGCTCGGATTTTCATCAGGAAAAACTGCTTGAAATTGGATTAGAATCGAGCGGGAGAGCGGGATCTCAGGGAATGTGTGCCGTGAGGGCATTCGGAATTGAATGATGACTTGTCTCCCCCCCCCTTCCCCTCTTCTTTTCATCTGAAAAGCCCCTTCCGCCTCCTCTAAATTAACCCACCAAAAAGAGACGAGCAGCAGCCAGAAGCCGCCGCTCCTCGATTCAGTGGGCATCACGAAAAATGGAAGGCACATCCATTTCATCTGGGGGCCTTTGGTGGACGATAAACAACATTTAGAGGAAAGAGAGAGAGAGAGAGAGAGAGAGAGAGAGGGAGAGAGAGAGAAAGATTCATTAGATGGAGCGCTGGACGATTTTAAAGGGATTGGCAAGGCAAACACCCCAATGTCGAAATCCTTAGTCCCGACAGCCAAATCTACGAGAGGTCAAAATCCCGACAGCGATAGCCCGACAGCCATAATACCGACAGATCAAAATCCGGAAACACAAAATAACGGCAATCAAAATCCCAAAAGACGAAATATCGACCGCCAGGATCCCGGCATGCCAAAATCTCGACACAGCTAAACCGGATTTTGGCTGTCGGCATTTCAGGCCGCGGCATTATGATTGTCGGCATTTTCGTTGTCGGTATTTGGACTGGCGGGTTTTTTTTCGTTTTTACCTAGATTTTCCTGGCTATAAAAGCGTCCCACCGTTTTTGAAGGCTGCTGTTTGTTCAGAATTTCAAGCTTTAGCGAATGAGCTGCATCACGTCAAAAAACCTTCAAAATCACCCTTTTTGGGATAAATTATCGTATTTTGCTGTTCGTATCTTGAATGACCTGATCCGGATAAAAATAAATCGAATTATCTGCAAATCCAAGATCGACCAGAGTCCAAGTCCAAAAAAAATTAGGACCGACGTGTGGGAAGCAATCCCAAATTCGACTGCCAATGAAATGGAGAGGCAGAGAGAGAGAGAGAGAGAGAGAGAGAGACAGAGAGAGAGAGAGAGAGAGAGAGAGAGAGAGAAAGTGTCGCGTCTAAAATAGGGGAGAATGAATTGGGATGAGTGTTCGTGGGCCCATCCTCCTGGGCGGCAGCTTCAGAAGAGTGTGGCCACGGTGGGCCCTAAGGGCTAGGGCCCAACAGGGCCCAACCCAATTCCGCCAATCCCCTCTCGCCCAACCGGATCATCCCCAAAAACCAGAAAAAATAGAAATTGGACCCGGCGAATAGAATTGGCGTCCGGCAGGCGAGCGAACACTTTTGGGGAATGGCTTTGTTTTGTCGAGCTCTCTCTCTGTCCCTCTCGCTCGTCCGGCTATTCATTCCGGGATACAAATGACCGTTGATTGCCGCCTTTTTCTCGGGCCTCAATTTCGGGGAAAACGGCGCAACTGCAAGGAGGGGATAAAAGGGGGAATTTTGCAGCCCCGGGCCAAATATGCTAATTTGAATTAGGACGGGGAATTCCGGGTCTTTTTTGCAAAAAAAACAGAAAGCTAGAGAGATATAGCCAGAGAAAGAGATAGCCAGAGAATGTGTGAGCGAGAAACAGAGAGAGAGAGAGAGAGAGAGAGAGAGAGAGAGAGAGAGAGAGAAAGAGAGAGAGAGAGAGAGAGAGAGAGAGAGAGAGAGAAAGGGAGGGAAGGAGAGAGAGACAGAAAGCGTGAGAGCGATAGACAAAGGGAGATAGCGAGAGATAGAGAGAGAAAGCGATAGAGATAGATATCCTGAGGAAGAGGGCGCCAGAGAGCGATAGAGTGAGCGAGAGAGCGAGAGAGATCTATATCTAGCAAGAGAGAGTGAACGAGAGGGAGATCGAGAGAGAGAGAGAACCAGCGAGCCAGTGAGTTGGTTTTTTATTTTTGCAAAACCAGCTACAGTACTGCAGTAATAGAACAGTGTTCCGGACATCAGGTAAGTCAAATCGCGATATCACACCCACCGGGTGATGACGCCCCCAAATCTTGTTAAATAATTACGGTAGAGTGGGCAACGGCGGGATGTCGAGAATCTAGAGGAGGCACGAAAAAGAGAGGCGGGCCGTGGAAAAAGAGAAGACCGCCATTCCATCCCGTGGATCCAGCCTTAATTTAACCGGAAACGACATCTGAAAGCAAGAAAAAGAGGGAAGGAAGAGAGAAGAAGTTGCTGATGATCAAACTTCTTTGTTCAGGATTTAAAGGGATGGGTAATACATGGCTTCCCCCTTTCTTTACACGGTAAAGCTTACAGTCAGCTTTCAATTTTTCAAAAACGTCTAAGAACAAGTCCAGTTGCTATAAAAAATTTCGAAGTGAATCCGATGCCCGCGGATCCATCGACTCAAAATGGCACCCCGAAAAATCGGCTGCAGCACCCCTTCGGCTTCGGCGATGAGGGATTGAGATTAGGGCCGGTTCCCCTGGGCTCAAGCTGTCCTTTTACGGGGCGCCAAATTTGAATTTGCTCGCGTTAAAAGGTATAACTTCTTAAAAACTGAAAACTATGAAATATGTTGCTGCGCTGTTTTTTAAACCCGTAAACTCTAAAAAAATGATCGGCTTGGGCGTTTGCTGATATAAAAGGCGAAATTAGCATCCAAATTACGACTTCATGCATCGATTTTGTCGACCAACCTTAAAATTGCCATTTCCTACCTCTTTCCCCCATTAATATGCTGGCGATTACATTAACCTGCTTTTTCCCATTAACCCTCACCCTTCACATGGCCGCCTGCGCGACGACACGCACCAAAAATGGTTGGTGAAGAGGGGGAGAGAGAGAGAGAGAGAGAGAGAGAGAGAGAGAGAGAAAGAGCGAGACACAGATACCGTATTCCATTCCAGAACTGAACAAGGGCACGGCCCCACCACGCAAGCGTCTCCTCTCCAAATCTCTCTCCGACGACAGCACGCAACGCGACAGCACGCCACCCAAGATTCGGCTCGTCTCGCCGGTTGGAAAAGGTGGCTGACAAATTACGATATAGTACGTTATACGACGGCATACCCTAAAAACTACGGTAAAATCTCCACTTTTTAGAATCGATGGAAAACTTCCAAAACAAGCTGAAGGATCTGCGTCGCGGGAAGAGTCGCGGCGGCGAGACTTCCGGCAGAACGATGGTACGGGCCTGAAGAAACCATTAAATTTGAGGCGCTTCACCAAAAAGAAAGAAGTTTTGCGCCGGAACGGATTGAACCCTGGTCGTGCGGACGACGACCTAGCACACTACCAATTAGCCAAGGTCGTGGTGGACGGAAAAGCATTTTCTATCGCTTTTAGTCGGTTAACGGCCCATTTTTTCGTAAAGTCTTATCAAAGCGGTTTTTCTAAGCAGTTTTTTACTATTGTGAGCGTAAAGAATTTACAAAAGTTTATTAAAAAATCCAAAATTTACGATTTTTTGGGAATTTACGGATTTACGACCTGAATTTCAACATTCTCTGCATTTTTGATAGTTTTTACACTTTAAACATAGCTAAATTTTGCCATAAATACTATTACGTTGTTATGCATTTTTTTACTTGAAAAAAAATAGGTTTCCTGGCGATAAATTTTCCTGCTCCCCCCCGATAAGGCGAAAGAACCCGAAATTGCACTCCCGTAGTGACCAACTACATACTTTCCAGATCGACGACGACGACTCGACACTATGCAAAGTGCCGTCCCTCGACCGATCGGCCATCCACAGCCTCACCACCCAAATCGAGCTGCCCACCGCCGATACATTTGCCCCTTAAAAAAATGCCCCCCCCCCCCCCTTCTTCTTGCTGTAACACGTTTATTATGAAACCTTTGCACCCATTGTATACTCGCGATTTTTGCACCTTTTTACTGGTTTTTGTCGTGTGCTAATAAATGCTAAAGTGTCTTGTTTCCGCGTTTTACATTCTCGCCTTTTCTTTACTCGGTTCTTTGGCATTATCGGGGGGGGGGAGTGGGTGGGCGGATTTTTAACAGCAGTTAGCCTTAGGCCCTTAGGTCCTGAAATCAGGTCTTTTAACGATTTTTATTAAAAGTTAGGCATATCATAACGGGAAAACGTAATAAAAAATGTTTAAAGTTTTATAAAACGAAAATTTCCATTAAACAGCTATATTTTTGTACCTTTTAATCAAAAATTGTCAGGCTTTACGCTTTACACGCGTCGAAAAGGCATAAAAAACTTGGAAAAATTATGTTACAAAAACATGGGGATTAAAAACATAGCCCCCCCCCCCCCCCCCCCCGATAATGCGAAAGCGCCGTTAAAATGAGCCGACCGCTGAGATCAATATTTTATTAAGCGGTTGTGTGGAAAGTGGTGGAGACGTGGCTCTCCTTTGGTAATTTTTCGCTCTTCTTATGAGAGTGCTTCTTTGGCTTCTCCTCGCTTTCATCCTGAAAAGGGAATCCGCCAGTTTAATAATCAAACTTTAAACTTCAGTTTACTTCACTTTAATTTGGATTTGCGACGCTCAAATCGCTAATCGAGTTTTTAGCCTACCTCCTCGGAGTCCTCGCGCTTGATCCAGTCGCCGCGCAGAATCTGGCTGTTGTGTGTGGCTCCGCTGAAATAAACGGATTTTAGGTAATTTTAATGCTATAATGCTTTAATTAAGTTAATAAGGATTAAAAACAATGACAAAATAAGTACTTACCCGAATAGAGCGTTTTTGAAGGAAGCGGCCTTGGGCGCTGGCCGTACATCGTGGATGGCGAATGGGGTGGTGGTTGGGGCATCAGTCTGAAATAGTGATCGTACTCCATTTATTCACTTTTGACTTAATTAACGTTTTTGAAGACGAAAAACCGCTTAGAAATCTTTATTTTTCGATTTGCAACTTTTCCCTAAAATCGAGAATTTTTCATTTAAAAAAATCGATATTTTTGTGTTTTTAACAGATTTATGGTACGCTTTCATGTTTACGAATAGCAAAAAAGGATGCAGAAAGATTTCCTCTACAAGTTTAGATCGTAAAAAATTGGATCCTAAGTAAAAATTCGATCATCTCCGCTTCAAAATTGCAAGCCTTAAAGCTTGATACGATTTATGATCGAACTCACGCCGTCCAGCGGATTTCGTGTAGTCCGCGGCGGATGTGTGGCACCCGGCAAAGGAGGCTGGATGACAGCGCCAAGCATCAAGTTACCCAAATCGCTCGACACGATCAGGTCCTTGGGCTGAGGCTTCTGGAAGATAGAAATAAAGTAACCTCGAAAATCTAGAACCTTCTTTCTCTTTTTTAGAACTATCTAAAACCGCCCACCTCCGACATCAAAGCATTTCCAGGGGATGAGTGCGAGACTGGGTGCAGGAAAACTAAAGCGAAGGTTTTGAAACGTCAAAAAGGAAGGGTTTGAAACTTTAAAAAACCAACCTCGAGGCTGAAGCTCGGCCTGCTTCTCCTTCTCAACCGTCACGCTCTCGATTCGTCGTCGGTCCTAGAAGAAAACGAAATTTTTACTGAAGATCTTCTTACCGATCTGGACGGGCGTTCGGCTGGGAGCTCATTCAGCTCCTGGAGCCGATTTCGCGAGCTGAAATAAGGTTTTGAGTTTTAAAAAGATGCAAAATTTACGTTTTTTGATTGTTTACGTTCTAAAACTAGCGTCAATCCCGCGCATTTCTGGATATCCCGTATCCAGTTTCTAATTCTTTAGCGGCGGGGGTGGGCTAAATTTTTCTATGTTGCTATGTTGATAGACGCCTGGCAATAAAGGAAGATAACCTACTTCAATCGCATTTGGAAATGGGTGCACATCCCGAAAACGTTTTTTTCAATGTTTTTTCATAGGCTTTTAGTAAGCGAAAAATAATGAAACGCTACAAAAATCGTGTCTTTTTATTACAATAGAATTTTGACTAAATATTGGCAGTCAGCCCCCCCGCTAATGCACCAGAAACGGCCATTTTCCAAAAACTGCTGAAAAAACTTCAAATCCCTCATCACACTATCATCGAAAAAACTGTGCCACGAACCACTGGACGACAGCCGCCGCCACGAACAGACCGAAAAGGCTGCGCATCCTCGTCCGCCTCGTGCCAGCCAAACTAAAATCAGACAAAAATCCCCCACAAATCGCTTATATACGAGGGAGGAGAATCGGCCGGGTGAACGGGTTCCTCAGCCCTCGCACCCCCTTATGGCTGACAGTGATTCAGTTCCGACGCTGGCAGCTGATTCGAAAAGACGAGATAGCACAATAGCTGAAGCCACCCAATAAGAGCACTCTGACTTGAGCACCCTTACGGCAAAGGGCAAGTGGCATAGTGATTGGGGGCAATGCTGGGGTTACGGCACTCGAAGCCTACGACAAAACCTGTGTTGCAGAACTTAAAAAAATAGTAGATGCAGCTAAATTCGACTGATACCGCAAAAAGCCGCCGCAAAAAACCAGAGAAAGAAAAAGTACTGATTTCCTCGCCTTTTCTACTGCTTTCGATGTATAAAAAAAAACCATATAAATCGGATATTTCACCGAGACACCAGATGTGCTGCTTTTTTTGCTGCTGGATATTTTCGGAAATTTTGGAAAACTGACTAAACGCTGAGTAATTCTGGTCCGAAACGATCGCAGTGCGAAAAAACGAGAAATCTATAAATAAGCTATATTCTAGACCAAGCAATCATAGAAGCAAATTTGGTTTACTTAACTGATACTGATAAAGCGAAGAAAATTCAGGAAGCTCGGTTGAAAGCGCGAAAAGCCGCCGCTACGAGGCAACAACTGTGAGCTCCATTGACCCAATTTCACCAAAAAGTGATTGCTGTTTTCCCCCACTCATTGGAGGTCACGTCCATCCCGGCGAGGTCAGAAAAACGCAGGTCGTAATCCCGGAGGTTTTCGATAAAACAGGAACGACGGTCCAGAGCTGCGCGGTAAGATGCACTCTAAAGGAGGGGGGCGACCGGGGAGGAACTGAAATTGTAGATAAGCGGTTTTTGAAAGCTTCAAAACTTTGCAGAGTCTTTACACGTGTAAAGCGCTAAAAAAAGGAAGTAAAACAACACTTGTAACCGCTGAGAAGAGGGTTAGCTATTTTCTCGGAACTTTGCAACGTCCCGCCCAAAAAAAAGAAATTACACTCAAGAGAATGTAGGTGTTTTAGACTATAAAACTAATGTAGAGTGTAACCCTTTTCAAATTCACAAAGTTTACAAAATTTGTATAAAGCCTTTGGGCAAAAAATCCTAAATTCTATTTGGATATTCCGATTCAATACACTCTCCCCATCAAGCGTAATTTTGAACTTACCCGTACTACGCTGCGGTGAAAATTTTCATTTATCAACTTCCAAATTCTTCCTATAGGGTTTTGCCAGTAAGTTTTTTATTTCCGGAAGCTATTTGATCCTTTTTCGCTTCCAAAAATGTTTATGCGTTGTTTTTGGCCAGTTGTTCCCCTCGCGTCCCCAGTTTCTGTCGGGCGCTTTTCATCGCGTAAGCAATTTTCTCGGCTAAACGTTTTCTGTTGCAAAACTATCGCGATTGCATCGATCCGCCCTCAAGCCCGCTTGTTTCGTTACGAAAAATATTCTACGTCGTTTTGCACACAATTTCTTATCCGACATTTTTCAATCCGGCTATTTAGTCGAAGATGGATCGACAAAATGAGGCGGCGATGCTCGAGATCGCGATGGAGCAGAGCATAATTACGGCCGCGAATGAGGCTCGAGCTCGTGCGGTTGAGATTTGGGTTTGTTACTGATATAGAAAGGAAACCTGCTTTAGAAACGCGAATTTCCTACGCTGTCTGAAGACACGATTCGCAACTATATTCACATGGATGAGGGCCCTCTGCGCGCAAAGTTTAATGAGCTTTCGGTGAGTGATTGCCTGCTGAAAAACAGAGTTTCTTTTCAGCAAGTTCTTCAAGGAAAACGTGGCACGAAAGTGCAAAGGAAGATCGAACGTCCGCAGAGGCTTGCTGTGCCCATTAATCTGTAAGAGTTGTCTGTATATTTTTCAAAACCACTTTTAGCAATATTGATTTCGACAAAATTCACTCGGAACAAATGATCGAAGCTGTTTGGTCGGAACTCGTCCGCAGGTTCGCTTTTTATTTAGAGTTTGAAAGTTTCATTAATAGGATGTCTTTTGTGTCCAACAACCCGGAACAGCAGAGGGATGAAAAAGACGAATGCTCGTTGTCGTTCTTCCTTCGCGACAGCTTTGTCACGGTATCGTGTATCGTTCTTTAGTACATCGAACTGCAGATCTGCATAATAGCGTAATAGTGTCTGAGGGGTTTTCTGAAATTTAGCTATTTTCAAAAATACAAAACCTTACTAGAGAAAATTTAGTAAATGGTTGAAGCGTACGTCGAAGCTTTGGATGAATTCGTCGAAAAATCGATATTTTTATTTTTTTTTCTGATCTGCTTTGTGCATTTGGGAGTTTGGGGGTGACAAAAAAGTGTGGAAAAAGTTCCTTGTCATATAAAAGTTCTATAACACCTTTTTAGGTCAAAATGAGCGCCGTCAATCGATTGCTGAAGGGTGATTTCTACTGTAGCATCCTGATTCTCGCGCTGACAGAGATGGGACTCGGCGATCGACTTCTGAAGGCGCAATGTAAATTTTTGCCCAAAAATTATTCTGTTTTAGTTTTGCCAAACGAGGTATGCTTGCGGGGAATCGACGACATCATCCTGAACGCGACGGAGACGCACCAGCGCAGGACTGAGGCCCAGAGCGTCCGCCGGGCCAAGCTCCCCTACTTTGCAGAGCAAATGTGGGACAACTTCCTGCAGCTCAAGAATTTCGTGAGTTTACCACTATCTTTATTACTAGATTCCGGCCTCAATTGTTCTATTACGGCTCTCTTTTGACCTAGGGGTTGTAAGTTATAAAAATTATTAAAGTCTGCAGAAGGTGAAAAGTAGAAGATCGGCCAGGAGGAGATAAACTAGATTTTAGTCCGATATCGCTGCAACTTTTGTTTAGGACTACAAGAATGAGATGATGAATCTGACACGCTTTGACTGTCCGGTCTGCTTCGAGACGTTCAACCGCTACGACGGTATCCACTGCTCGCAATCTGACGTTGATAAGGAAGACCCCGGTATGAATTTAATTGTAAAAATCTTTCGAAATTTTGCCGGAAAATTGTTTTTTGTCCTTGTGTTTTACCGAAAATGGCGGACTTTTTACGTTTCAGATCGTAAATTCGTAAACCGTAATTCAGTCCTAAAAAGAGTTTATGCCGCTCCCGATATTGCCAAAAGACGCACGAGTTTTTTTCAGAATTCTGCCACCTGTTCTGCGAGGTATGCGTCCGACATCACACCTTGGCCTCGATGGAGGAGATCAACTTTGTGGACAGCGTCGGCGTCAAGTGCCTCCAGCCGGGCTGCAAGGGACACATCTCGCTCCGTAAGCCACCTTTTACTCTTTTTATGTATTTTCTTGTCAGCTCGTTTGCTGCTGATCCTGGATGCCGAGGAGAAAGCGACGCTCGAGAAGCAGTTCACGTCGGCCGTGCTGATGAATGCCGGCCAGAAGGATTTCTTGCGGTTCGTCAAACGAATTTTTTAATTTTCCGCATTTAGATGCGCCAAATGCGACTTCGGGTTCGCCAACATCGACGACCGCGATTGCATCGAGATTCTGAACTGCCAAAATCCCGCCTGCATGTTCCGTCAGTGCAGGTTGTTTTTTAGTATTCGATTTTTTGCACTAGCCTGTTAGCGGGGGGATCTATGTAGCCTTTACCTACGTAGAAAATGTTTTTGAGTAGTTTTTCATTACTAAAAGCCAGAAAAATCTTTAAAAATCGTGAATATTTGAAACGTTCACGTTCATAGAATTTTCGCGTGAAGCGAAGATTTTCTAAAAAATTGTAGAATTTTAGATGTACTTACCGAAGTTACCCCCCCTGCCCTCGCTAACAATCGAATACCTTTAATTTCAGGAATTGCGATCGTGCCTATGATGGGCGTCACGTTGGTAGGACCTGTGCCGAATTGGCCAACGCACAAGATGCCGCCCGGAAGCGAGAGTTCGTCCTATCTATCTGTCAAAAACACCCTCATTTTTAGGGAGGAAGAGCTCACTCGCCTCATGATCCGCATCTGCCCAAAGTGCAACCGGGAATTTGTTCGCGTAATGTTAACGAAATTTTCGTGAGAAATTTCTTTAGGACTCTGGCTGCAACAAAATGACGTGCCCGTGTGGCGTGACCCAGTGCTACCTCTGCCGCGCTAGCCCCATCGGCTACGACCACTTCAAGTGACGCCTACTTTTAGAGCCTACCAAAAATATTTTTTTAGAAATGGCACTTGTGCCCAGAATACGGACGATCTCCAGGTGCAGCGCCGCGACGAACAGTTGCGCCAGGCGCGCATCAAAGCCGCCGCCAAGGATGAACTTCTTCAAGGTATTGAAAAATTAACGATAGGATGAATGATGGCTTTTTTTAGAACATGCCAAGCGCTGGGAATGAGCACCAACTACTCGCGACTACTTATCCGATTGATCTTCTGGAAATATGTATACGGGTGCTAAGGCCTCAATTTACTGCACATAATGTTGCTTTCTGATTTGTCACTGATGCAATAAATACTACTTGTTCTTGTTGTGAGACTTCATTTTTTGAAGTTCTGACGGTGGCAATGGCCAGAGGATTTCTTTTGCAGAGATCATGTTATGTACGTAATTAATGTACACTTTATATAAATTTGAATGGTTTATTGAGGATATGTTAATTTATTATTTTGCGTACAAAAACGGTGAAAGTGAAATTTGTGGGGCAGCTTTTTCTCGATCGCGAATTTGGAATGGTGAAAACGTACCGATCAGCTTTCTGTTGCCCTGGCGCTTTTCGTTTTGAAATACGAATTTCCGCTTCAGGCATGTCTGATATTGACGATGATATTGTCGATCAAGCCGATGAGGCCGCACTCTTCGATATCGCCCTCGCCAACAGCCGAATTACTGCCGAAAATGAACAACGCGCCCGAGCGATTGAGGCTTGGGTACATAATCGGAATTTTTTTCTATTTTTTTCTTAGAAAAAAGAATTCCCCCTCTTGGCGGACCACACGATCCGCAGTTTCATCCATCTGGACGATGCTGCACTACGACTGAAGTTTCGTGAATTGACGGTACCCAAAAAACAACACGATTTCAACTTTTGCTTAGCAAATCATGGAGGGCAAACGTGGGACGGAAGTCGTCAAAAAGCCTAACCGCCCACCGAGGTTGGCTGTCCCTGTAAATCTGTAGGTTGTAGCGTTGCTAGGGTTAAATTTATATTCAGCAATATCGACTTTGACGCCATCCACCGCGAGCAACTGATTGAGGCGCTCTGGGCGGAAATAGCGAGAAGGTTTTTATTTTGCCCAATTTTTAGTGGGCTTTAGGAAGAAGTTTCTTTCCGGACAGCCCCACAAAAAACGCACGTCAACCGAAGAGTGGGCGCTGGCGTTCTTTTTGCGTGATAGTTTCGTCACGGTACTAGATGATTTTGATTAAGAGTTCTCGATTTAGATCAAACAAACGGCCATCAATCGTCTAATGCAAGAAGACTTCTACCTGGCCATTCTCATGCTCGCGCTGATCGGGCTCGGCCTTGGGGATCGCTTGGTGAAGAAGAAGAGTAAGGTTTTGGGTGTTTTCGTCGTTTGATGGGGGGTGACGGATTTTTTCGCTCGACGTTCGAGTCTGCTCAGAATCGTGGGAGCAACTATTTTGTCAGCCTTTTTCATAAATTTTCAATATATACAATTGAAAAATTGTCTAAAAACTTCAAAAAGTGTTTTGGTTGAGAAATTATTTTTTTGTAGTTATAGTAACATTTTAAAGGGGTTGTTACGGTTAGGAATATTAAAAAAACAGTCTAGAGACACTTCCGACATTGGTAAGCTCAAATAGCTGGATCTTGCCAAGTCCACCCCCCCGGTAATGCGAAAGCACCAGCGCGATTATTTTGATAGTCGGACGTTATTTTATAGTGATCCCCGCCGAGATCTTCGTCGGCGGCCTGCAGGACATCATGAACTCCGAAAAAGAGATAGAACGCCGGAATAAGGAGGCGAACAGCGTCCCCCGGGCCCCGTTGCCCGAATTCGCCGATCAGATGTGGAACAACTATTTGGAGCTGCAAAATTTTGTAGACTAGCAGGAGTTTACAAAACCTTTGTTTAGAATTACAAGCAGGAAATGATGAACATTATCCGATTCGACTGTCCGGTGTGCTTGGAGACGTGGAATCGATACGATGGGATCCACTGTTCGGCCTCGGAAGTAGATAATGACGACCCAGGTATTTTGGGTGCTGCTGTTTTAACGGGGGGTTGGGGTAGTATTTTTACCAGAAATTCCATAATGCTAACGAAAAAGAAACGATTTTGTCACCATTTGGCACCGTCTTAGATAGAAAAAGGAATATTTTACTGGAATTCCTATTTCTATTAGAATATTTTAGGTTGTATCGTTTTGTCAAAAAATATAGCAAAAATCACCCCCAAAAAGCCGACATTTCAAATTTTTACGTAAAATACGGTTTTGATGCTTTTTTAGCAATCAAAAACTTCTAAAAAAGGGTTGTAGGCGAAAAGTAAAAATTAGCGCAACAAGCTTCTTGATTTTTTGATTCCAGAGTTCTGCCATTTGTTCTGCGAGACATGCGTTCGCCAACATACACGATCTTCGATGGCCGAAATGCAGTTGGCCGACGGGGTCGGCGTGCGATGCATGCAGCAGAATTGTAACGGACACATTACGCTCCGTAAGCTTACTGTAGCCAGTTTATCCCCGCTGCCTCAGCTCGTCTCCTTTTACTGCTGGATGAGCACGAGCAGGCCGCACTGAACAAGCAGCTGACGGATGTTGCGCTGCTAAACGCGGATCGAAGGGATATTTTACAGTAACCTGGTTAATTGTGGTAGTTTTAATACGTGTTAGATGTTCGAAATGCGACTACGCGTTTGTGAATATCGACATGTCAGACTGCCAGGACGTGCTGAGATGCCGGAATGCAGACTGTCTCTTCAACCAATGCAGGTCTGTTTTGAATTATTTGGGAAGCACTTTTTTTTAGACATTGCCCACGTCCGTATGATGCTCGCCACGCGGGACGAACGTGCGCGGAATTGACGAATGCGCAGGAAGCCGCACGGAAACGCGCGTAGTTGTTTCTTTATTTTAAAATCCTTTCTTAGTGAAGAAGAATTGACCGCGCTGATCGTCAGGAGATGCCCAACATGTCCACGACAATTTGTCAAGGTATTCGGCCTTACTTGACGTTTTTTTTACTACTTTTTTTACTACTTCTCGGGCAGAAATACTGATTCTGGCTGATTCCGATTATGTTTCCAAATCTGCGTAAAACTCCGATCTAGTCAGAAAAAATTCAAGCTGTGTAAAGCTTGCTTAAAAAAAGTGTACGGGTTTTTTATCTAAAGTGGCCGGAAATGATCTATTTTAACTGCGTCCAAAGTCTGGTAAGATAGCTCGAATTGAACATTGTGAAGGATTGAGAATTTCGCAAATTTTTGGAGGGGTTTATTGTGCCATTTTTCGAAAGTTTGGAGCCAAATACCACTGAATACTTTGAAGCCGAGTTGGTTACATTTCCACTAATTTTTCAAATTCAGGCGGACGGCTGCAACTGGATGACGTGCGAATGTGGCGCCTCGCAGTGCTACCTCTGCAACCAAAGCCCAATCACCCAAGGCCATTTTGGTGCCCGGGAACAGGGGCTGTGCAACCAGTTCGAAGACGCGCACCAACGTGACGAGCTTCGCCGTCAAGCCCGCATCCAGGCGGCCAAGCAGGATGAACTGATACGGGGTATATTTTTGACTGATTTTTTTGTGGTGTGCGTTGGCGCAGGACCAAAATTCTTCTTATAAAACACCATATCGCTAAGTGATGTTATAGCAAAAATATTAATAGTGTTTTTGAAACGATTTTGTTATATTGAAAGTGGTAGCACTATTTAGGAAACTTCGAAACAAGTTGTAAATAGAAAATTTGTCGGAATTCGCCTTTTCCTGGAAAAAGACATTGTAAAGGAAAATTTTAGAGTTTTTTGTCTTTAAAAATACTATACATAGTGTATAAATGGTTACTCTATTTTTGAATCCGGCGAGACAATTATTTGACCCCCGATCAAACGAAAAATCCTCTTCTTTGCATTTTAATATTTATTTCAGACCAAGCGGACAGTTGGCTGTGAGGAGTGTGACGCGCCATTCACCCGATATGCACTTGTTCCAGTTTTGAAAAACCCTATGTACATATTTATTGTTATGCATTTTGTTGCTGATTTCGTTGCGGGGAATAAATTGTGATACTTTGAACTTCATTCTAGTTTTTTGACGTTTAGAAAGCGTGAAAGCGGCGAATTTGGAGTTCAGTTCAGTGGTCCTCTCGACCCAACCGGATGCGCTTCATTTAGCCACAAGCGACCAGACAAGTCTCGCCATCTGGGTGCATGTGTGCAATTTACTCCAGCGGCGAAACGCACGAACCCATCGATCTTGGCACCCACACATTGGCTCCATTTTGGGGGGCCATCTCATTCAGACGTAGAGGGCCAGGCTTGGAGCAACAGAAGCTTCGCGTTCCTCTGCTTCCCCCCAGAGATTCGGACACACTGGCCGAGGCTGCTTTTTGGACCCGTTGCCTAAAAGAGGCCACCGACCAGAGCAGACACCCACAATTTCCTGCAAAGCTTCTAACAAGCCTAGGCCTAAATTATGACGACCAATCGCTCGTCGTGCTTCCAGATTATTAGTAGTAGGTTTTTAATTTTTGAATTTACGAAAAAAGCGGTTAGAAATTTATAAAAACTAAACTTCTAGGCTATTTTTAAGATTGGCTCTGTAGAGGCCGGTGCTTTCGCATTATCGGGGGAGGGGGGGGGTAGTTTTTCGGCGGGGGAAGCCGAATTTTTTTGTATAATTCCGGAGAGTTGTAAGGTAATAGTGAGTATTTGAAGGTGGTTTTCGTCAAGAGCAGCTATATTTAAAGTAGCAAGTCCGAAAAATCTTAACACTGTAATGTAAAAATTCTAAATCTTGGTCGAAAATCGGCCATTTTTGGTCCAAAATCTATATCTTTATATGTATAGCAAACTTCATAGATCGTTTGCGTTCAAAGGGGAAAAAATAAAAAAGGTTTTTCGTAAAGTTACCCCTTCGAGCTAGGGAAAATTAAAATCCCCGGAACCCCATCGAGTCTCCCACGCAATTTGTACCCTCTAGGGCATGCTTTTCGCGGAAATTTCGTTGTTTTCCCTAGCAACGGGTGGGGCGTAGGCCCGGCAATTATCAAGCGCTTGGTAAATTCCTGGTACCGCCGCTCTGGGATACATTTCGAAAAGGGCGGCTTTAGCGGAAGATTACTAATAGTCGTTTCAGGTATGAAATATTCGTTATTACCAGAGTTATTGATTGTAATCTAATCAATAAATTATAACGCTAATTTTCGCTGCCTAGACGACAATCGAATCCTCCAAATGGCCGATGAAAACGTGACCGAAGAAGAGCAAAATCGGCTTCGAAGGGCTGAATTGAGAACATGCACCGATCCCCTGCGAAAAGTACGTTTTTTACCCTAAATGGATATCGTTAAATCTTCAGCTGCAGTTGACGCTGCTCCTGCGTGGCTCCACCGGCATCAAGGAGTTCGCCAGGTAATTTGAACGAAGAAACGAATCAGTTTTTTTAATGTGGTTAAATTGGGTTTAATTCAATGTTTTGAATAGATTTTTTAAGCTCTTTTTAAACTCTAGATTTTAGAAGCTTTCGAATCCTGGACGACGATGGGAATAGGCAGCTGACGATGGACGAATTTTTGAAGGGAATGCACGATTTTCAGGTTAAGATTTTAATTTTTAGTTTCCAAATGAGTTTTCACGCGCGTGAAATTCCTAAAGAATCTCTGCTAGCTGCCGTTAATCCTAAAAAATTTAGGTGCCCCTCTCCCCTGACGAGCTCGTGGTGCTGTTCAAGGTGCTCGACGCGAACGGCTCGGGCTCGATTTCATTTGACGAGTTTTTGGAGCATTTGAGGGTAGGTTTCAAGCTTAATAAATGCAATACCATCGTTAAATTTTAGTTTTTACAAGACAAGGTTTTTTTTCAGCAGTTTAGTCGAATGTATCCATTTAAATCCTTTAGCCCCCAATGTCCGACACTCGCAAGAAGCTCATCGAGGCGGCCTTCCGAAAAATGGACCGACGCGGGGATGGGACGATCACGCCCGATGATATGGTCGTAAGTAATGTTAATAGTTTGTTTATTATTCTTTATTAAGGGAGTTTTCAACGCTAAAAAGCATCCGAAATACCTGTCGGGCGACAAGACGGAGGAGCAGATCTTCAAGATGTACCTCAGCAATTTTGAGATTGGCGGGCATAAAGATGGCAAGGTATATCTGTACATTTTTATGGTTTTTAATTTATCCTACCTTTCGAAGCCCGATTTGAGGGCCTTCCCTTGTCCAAAACGCCCCAATTCTTCGGCACCGGGGGGGAATCGACCCTCCTCTTTCCGATGGCGTTTTCAAAATCGCGATAAAATAAAAGTTTACAAAGTTAAGGCCGGTTTCACTAAATTTTGGGGCGTTGGAGAGCTAATTAGCATAATGTGGAAAAAGAGAAATTTCCTCATTTTTGCCAGTTGCACTAACGAGTGTGGTCGGGCAGGGGGTCCGCAGGACCCGGGCGATCGGAAAGTCAAATTTTTGATGCAAGGGCAGCAGTCCAGCGCCCAAGGCCCGCGAAGCGGGTTTTGGGCGCTGGTTTGATCTATATTGTCGGACCCGTACATTCCATTACACATTTTTAGCCAAAATCTGATCTTTCGGGCGGTAAAACCTAATTTTCGCAATTTGGCACGCAGGCCCACGATAAATTTGTTTGGAATGGAACCTTTTGGAACTGTGCTGCACTTTCTAGGGTTTTTTAGAGGAGAGAGAGACAGAGAGAGACAGCGAGAGCGAGAGCGAGAGAAACAGAGATAGAGAGAGATACACGGACGGGGGAAAGAGAGCGGGAAAGGCATCCAAAACCTATAACCAAATATGATTTAGGTAACCCGGGAGGAGTTCTACAATTACTACAACGCCATCTCGGCCTCCATCGACAATGACTGTTATTTTGACTTGATGATGAGGAATGCTTGGAAACTATAGAAATCTATTTTTTCTAGGCATTTTCAAGGACTTGTGTTGTTTAAAATAATAAAATTGTCACAAAACTCAAGGTAATTGCATCCGTTACACATTACTGTCGAGTCCTAGTCGACAAGAGGGTCGATTCCGGCGTTTGATAGCCTTTTTAAAGGGTCCGGCAAGGCATTAATCAAATTTTATTGTCTATGGATACTTTACCCTGCGCTAGCTTAAGAACGATCCAAATTACCAATGAAGATCAAAGGACTTGCGTGCGTCGTTTGGTGTACCACGTAGTTGTCTAGACCTAGCAACGAGATGGGTCGATTTCCGGAATTTTTGGTCAATTTCACCATTTAATTTAATTTTTTTTTATAATTAAACTTATTGATTATAGTTAAATTTAACTATAATTAATATGGAAATTCACATTATTAATTTTCCCCTCTTCACACCTTTAAGTTAGCCAATCTCCCCAACCATTCCTGGTGAATCACCCCCTCCCCCATATATCCATCGATATTATTGGCTGGTTCATGGCGGGAGGAAGACTATTTGGTGGCTGGTGTTGTGTGTAGATTCCTGAGGATGTGTCGTCGGGAATGGGGGGAAATGAATGGGGAGCAGGAGGAGGAGGCGGAGGAGGAGGAGGAGAGGACAGTCCCCCTCCCCCCGTCCCAAATATGAATAGATGGCTGCGAATGATAAGGGCATCTCGGGCTCTTTCTCCCCCTCCTCCTTCACCACCTCTACACACCTTTTCGATAAATATTTCGGCTCTCCGGGATCGAAGGGGGAAGGTGGACTGGATTTCGAATTTTTGGTTTTGTTGTTTGGCCTGAGTTTCGAGTAGTTTATCTATCTGTATCTCTCCCTTCCTCCCTCCCTCCCTCCCTCTCTCTCTCTCTCTCTCTCTCTCTCTCTCTCTCTCTCTCTCTCTCTCTCTCTCTTACGGTTTCTCTGCATCTCGCTCTCTCTTCTCCGTCCTCACTCATTCTCACTCTCGCTCTTTATCTCTTACTCGAACTCTCTCATTCACGCTCTCTTGCTCTCTATCTCTAACCCCTTGTCGGACTCCACTGGTGATCCCGAAAACAATTTTGAGCCGCATTTCGCGCACTTTTCGCGCAGCTGGCCGCGAAGTGAATTTTTCAATATTTCTTATCTTCTATGGACTTGATTTGCAATAAGCGGATTTACTAGGAACTAGGAACACTATAAACTTAGAAACCAGCAGCTTCATTGGGTTGTTTTCGCGTTTTCCTTACCCCAGAACACCTTATTTTGGGGGTGAGACATTTGGCTGCCGGAATGGCTAGCTAGAGGAGGAGCGATAGTGGAAGCGAGAGAGAGCTAGAGCCCGAGCGAGAGACAGTGAGAGAGAGAGAGAGAGAGGGAGAGAAATGGAGAGAGGGAGCAGGTGAAAGCCATGTCCTTGGGCGATCATTCTCCCCCGATTCGAGGCTGATATTCCTTACCGTTTTAGCCACCAGACTACAGACTTCCGGCATTGTTTTCAGATTCCTTTCCATTCCTCTGTACGCGTAACTAGTTCTTCCTCGGAACAAGGGCACTGGGCTTAGCGAGCGGAGGGAGGGACGCCCTGGAAAAAGCTTCGAAAAACCAGTGCCGTTTCTGGGGGAAGGGCGGAAAGTGTTGCGAGGCGTTTCTCGTAATTGTTTCTGGAATTTAAGGATTTTTTAAAGGGATGGTGCCAAGGAGATGCATAGCTGGCAGAGACTCTTTAGGAGCGAGAGAGAGCGAGAGAGAGCGAGAGAGAGTGAGAGAGAGAGCGAGAGACATCCATCGGCTTGCATTGTCCGTCCCTTTAAAGGGACAGCGACACCTAATTTTCCAATCGATTCGTCAATAGTACCCTCCCGCAGCGTTGATAGGATTATACGGAAACTTCCTATAGACGCCCTCCTCCCAGTCGACCGTTTTTTGGTGACCCCCGCGAACCCTTTGTCGTGTGCCCGACTATGAGCCGACGAGGGTGTGTTGGTTTTTGGGCTGAGTCAGCGAATAATTCCCCTCCTGGCTGGTTCGCCTCTCTCTCTCTCCCTCTCTCTCTCTCTCTCTCACCTTCCCATTGAAAGACTTGAAAGACCAGATCCACAACCATCCTCCCATCGACCTGCCGCAGTTCGCCCTTGAGGCGTGGATCGGACTTTTAGGATATGGAACTTATCTACCTCTGTTTATCTATATTTATCGATATTTTGTTAATTCATGTGTTAGAGAGCGCGAGGGAGAGCGCGAGTGCAAGAGCGAGCGAGAGAGAGAGAGAGAGAGCGAGAGAGAGAGAGAGAGAGGATGAGAGAGAGAGAGAAACTAACAAAGGTTTTTGGTGGGCGCTAGCAAAGATCATTTAATTTACACTTTAAGGCAGGCGGTTTAGCAGAGCTTTTTTTATGTATTTTTTTCCTTCTATTTTAGGGCAAGCTAGCAGTGGTTCTTTAGGATGATTAATTATTGTTCTGTTGATTGTGCATACATTCCGCCAGTCAGCCCTAATCCTTTGGTTCTACAGTCCTGATGCCTCATTTTTTTTGGTCTAGACAATTGTGATTTTTACCATTTTTCTCAGATTTTCCTTTTCACAGCAATCCCATTTAAAGTCTAATTTTAATTTTCCAGATAGTCCTCCTTTTCCAAGTCAGTTTTGAGGCTCCACAGTCGAAATGGCCAACCACGGGCCCAGCTATGGCCTCAGCAGAGAGCTCGAGAAAAAGGTATTTTTTTTGACCGATCGCCTGTTCAAATCAATTAAATTCAATGAAGATAGCAATTACTGAAATTAACTAATGATGCTGAATAAATAAAATTACTAAAATGTGTTTTTAGATACGTTATTATCGATTTTTTTTGTTTCAGAACAACGCCCGCTTCAGCCTCGAAGAGGCCATCGAGGTGTTGTACTGGATTGAAGAGGTCCGTTTAAAAAGTTACTTCAAATGAATTTTTCTGAAAAACAAAAAATTCTTCCACGCCGTAAACAAATCCCATTTTTGGCCGGTTTCTAAAAATCCGAAATAGGTTTTATAAAATAGTTTTTTTGGAAAATGGCCAGCGCTAATTACCTGGCGTAATCGATTCGCATATTGTATTCCAGGGGTATTTCTTCATCTTGCATAATTATCATTTCGCATAACGCTATTTCGCATAATTGCATTTCGCATAATTTTTATTCCGTATAACGGTGATTTCGCATAACGATGATTTCGCATAACGCTTATTTCGCCTAACGGCGATTTCGCATAACGGTCATTTCGCCGAACCATGATTTGGCATAACGATCATCTTGCATACTTTTCATTTCACCTAGCGATGATCTCGCATAACGTTTATTTCGCATATTTTTTTAGTTAGTGGCAACCAAGAGCAAAACAGGGCGTTTTTGATGATATTAAGTGCAGTCGCGGTATAAGACAATCGAAATGACTAGCTACCATTTACGCGGATTCCGCATCTGTATTCAATGTAATGCTTTTGACCTAGTCTTGCGGTCAGATTTGCTACTTTACACAGGGATACTATCTACAACGTAGGATTTTTGGTCAAGCCCCTCAAAACAGACGTACACCCGATCGTCCTGGATTTTGAGCAAGCTTGAGATATCTGCACGGAAGGGCGCAAAAAACCGCGCCGGTAGATTGTTTTTCATCGGTTGCTGATTGCTAAGCTAGAGTTATATTGACCATCGGCTGCCAATGGCGAAAATTATGCGAAATGGCGGTTAGGCGAAATCAAAATTATGCGAAATGGTCGTTAGCTGAAATGAAAATTATGCGAAATGATCGTTATGCGAAATGACGGTTATGCCAATCGCCGTTATGCGAAATAAGCGTTATACGAAATAAGCGTCATGCGAAATCACCGTTATGCGGAATAAAAATTATGCGAAATGCAATTATGCGAAATGGCGGTATGCGAAATGAAAATTATGCGAAATGAATGGAAATCATTCCAGGCAACCGGGATGAGCTTCGAGAACGACCCGGCCCAGTTCAGCACTTCGCAGCATGTCTGCGATGCGTTGAAGGACGGCGTCATGCTAGCTGTGTGAGTTCAGTCTCCGACATTTTACAGGGATTGTAAAAGGCTTTCGGAGGGAATTTACAGGGCTGTAAAGCCCCAAAAGTGCTGCCATGGCACTTGGAGTTTTTTGAAAGTCTAGGAAAGCAGAAAGCGTGGTATTTTCGATATGAAAAAAACCGAAATTTAGGCTGATGAACCGGCTGAATGGGCGTGACATTGTTCCATGTAATATGCGCCCAAAGATGCCCTTCCACAAGGTAAAAGTTGGCTTGTAATTTGCGAACAGAGTGTCAGTGTCCAGAGGAATCAGGCGTAGTCGAAGGTTCCTTACGTGGTGCTCCAAACGACACTCCAATTTTAGTCTGTAGAAGCCTATAAAGAAGAAAACCTTTCGAGAGTTCATAGCTAGCAAAGTCCATCGTTACGCCTTGCCGCTCACTTTGATGCTCCCGAAAACATTTTTCCGATTTTTAAGAGCATCTATATAACTTTAAAAAATACGAAAAACACAGCTTCATCTCTCCATTAAAGTATTTGAGGTTAATCAGGTTTTATACTCCGTTTTTTAGATGGAAAACATCTCCAACTTCCTGCAAGCCGCCAAGAACTACGGTGTCTCCGAGATTTCCCTCTTCCAAACCGTCGACCTCTACGAGAACAAGCAGCCTTATAAGGTTTTTCGTTAATTTTCGATTACTGTAACCCGAGCGTTTTTTAGGTGATCGAATGTCTGCGATTCTTGGCGGCTGTGGTTAGTTTTAGAACGGAAAATTAATAACCAGAAAGGAGAAAATAAACAAATAAATTATGCTTAGGCGCAAGCGAAGGGCGCGCCGGTGCCATTCCCCCAGTGGGTCGTCAAGCTGGCCACCAACAACCCGAGACGTTTTGATGAGGGCACGATGAGGAGCGGTCAGTGAAAAAGGGATTTAAAATGGATTTAAAATTGAATAAAAATCACATAAAATCTAAAAAGGCAAAAAATTGTACTTAAAAAGGCCGCGTTGCGTGTGCGTCCCGGTTCAGAGCTCGGAGCTCGCGGGCGACGCGCGTCACGGCTACGTCGCGGCCTGATGTTTTTGAAACAAAACCCGATGCTTGGAGTTATAAGACTTTCTTGCGCGTTGTGTATGCGTCACGGCGGATCTTTCGAAGCCAGAATTAGGAGCTTGGAGCTCGAACCAGTAGGAAAGAAATTAGACGCGTCGCGTTTACGTGGCGCTCGTTTTTGAGCAGCTCCCACCTGAAGCTATAAAACCTAAAAAATTGAATAGAGGCCGGAATAAAGAAAAAAAAAACGTAAATCTTCAGGCGACACCGTCATTCCACTTCAATACGGAACGAACAAATGCGCCTCGCAGAAAGGAATGACACCGTATGGATTGGCCAGGCAGATCAAACCCGATGGAATGCAGTGAAGCCTAAGCCATTCTAACCCAATTTTTGCTTTGACATTACTGATATGTGTACCAATGCAATAGCAATGCACTTTTTACATTCTATTTCTAAAGTCGCGAAATTTTGCTGTCCTAGAAAACCCATTCCTCCAAAAGCCTGGTGCTTTCCGTTGTGCATTCCGCAAAAACCCCCAAGAGTTGTGCATTTCAAATGATTATCACGGATAAATATATATTTTTACTACGTTGTTTCATAAGAAACCCCCCGTAAAGTGTTTTTCACTGGAATCATGGCGTAATCGATTCGTACACGCGAGGTAATTAGCGGGGTTTCAAAAAACTGTTAGACCTTCAGAAGCTGTTTTTTCTTAATTTTCATTCGCGATTTTTTCGAAAGTAAGTACGGAAAGATTTTTGTTTTACTAATATTAATAAACTTAATTTATTGCTTTTTCCATACGTCGAAAAGTGTAAAAGAGGATTTCCATTTTTTAGCGTCTTCCGGGTCTCTACTCGGCACGTGCAATCCACAACCCCAAATGCGGCCCGCATCGTTTAGCAAATTGCCAATTTAACTTGACTAGGCCCTTTTGGACCCGAAAAACTGGCCGATTGTGGGCTTTATGGTCTAGCGAGAGCTTGGGATGTGATGAGGGTGGACGGGGGCTTGCTAGAGACCTTGAAAGAAATGACGTTATTCCACCCCCGTAAACACAAAATCTTCACCAAGTCGTGCTTCCTCGTTTTTGGTTCCTACATCACTTTTCACCTATACCATTTTCGTTTACTTTTTTATACTTTATTTTAACGCGTTTGTTGAGCAAATACCATTTTTCTGAAATCGAAATCCATTATTTTTGGTCATTTTAGGAAGTGTTTTTCAATTTATAAATTTAGCGTAACGTTAGTATAACTTGAAGGTATCCTTAACTCTATTAGTTTATATATTTTAAATAGTTTTAGTCAATTAGCAAAATAAAATATCACATGAATTTTTCTAAAATCGAAATTCGCCCGTTTTTTGGGGGTATTAAACTTCTACAAGTAATTTTCTTATTTTGGTTAGATTTTAAATTTGTGTATTTCGTTTCTGGTTTTGGTCAATTTTGTTATTATGCTACTTTGGTTTGTTGAAGGATGTATTGTAACGACTATTTTTCGCTGGAGCTTCATGCCGGCTTCAGTTTATAAGGTTTTTTAAGAGATTGGTGGTTTACAACCAACTTTTCAATAATTTACAAGATTTTTACCAAACTTTAAGCCTGTAACGGACTGCGAAACCTTTTTCTCCGTAAAATTCTAGCTACTTAGCCTGACCCGACTTTTTTCCGAGGTAATAAGCCTTATTTTTCGCCCTTCTGCACCTAATCTATTGCGCCGTTCCCTTTTTTTATTTCTATTACTCATCATCACCTTGTTAATACATCGTTGTCCACTGATTCAGCTACTTTTGACAACTTTCACGCAGAACGTTCCCTGGGAATTCTTTTTTTTTGTAGCGTCCAGCCGGCGAACAGCTTTTTCCGGCGTAGCAAAAAGTAATTTACGAGCAATTTTACGGCTGGCTTTTGGGTGGTAATGAATTTTCGGTTATAGCCCCGGAATTGGCTTTTTATTAGCGGGACGCGATCTGTTGCATTTTTTGTGCGTTTTGGCAAGTAGAAAAGCGATTAGGCTATGAAAATCGTGCTTTTTCAGAGATGAATCAACTGTGTTAATTTTTTCTGGAGCTCAGAATTTTTTTTATCTAGACTTGTCTCTCTCACTCTCCCTGTCCCGCTCTCCCGCTCTCTCTCTCTCTCTCTCTCTCTCTCTCTCTCTCTCTCGAACTAGCTCTCTCGCTCTCTCTCTTTCTCTCTCTTTCGTTCTCTCGTTATCTCTCTCTCTCTCTCTCTCTCGAACTAGCTCTCTCGCTCTCTCTCTTTCTCTTTCTCTCTCTCGCTCTCTTTCGCTCTCTCTCTCTCTCTCTCGAACTAATGGCGAAATTTTACTTGGTGCTAAACCCCCCCCCCCGTTAGCAGTCCAGTCCCTAATATTTTATTCATTTAAACTCGTTCTAAGTAGCTCTCAAGAGCATAGTTTAGTCAGATCAAAGTTCATTTCCCTTACAGCCTGGCACGACCTGTTTTTCCATAAATCCGGGTGCATTTTAGGTATGCAGAGATCAACAAAATTCAGGAGTTAGCGAGAATTTTTTGGGCTAGCAGAATACGGAAATACGCAGCGCCAATCTCGGGGTGCTAATCTATCCCCTGGGGCCCCTCACGTATCATTAGCCATTCCAAAATTGGCCGTTTTGAAGCGTGTGTAGGTGGGGGAGGAGGCTGATGTTTTGCTGCCCGAATTTATAATGTGACCTACTCGGTGCTGGGGGATCTGAGTATATAAATTTTGGATTAGGTGGGTTTTTGCTAGGCAAAGCTCGTCTGGATTAGGCTTTATGAAATTTTTGGAAAGGGCCAAAATGCCTCGGCAAATTGTTGGTTGTATCAAACCTTTGCACCCTCTCTCATTATCTCTCGCATACTCCCTTTCTTTGCACTCTCTCACACCCTATAGCTTTCTCTCGCCCTATCTCCCGCTCTCCGGCCCAAACTCCATTTCTCCAGCTCTCTCTCTCTCTCTCTCTCTCTCTCTCTCTCTCCCTATCTCTCTCCCTTTCCCTCTCCCCAACCTTGTCTCTCTCTCTCTCTGGCTGTCTCTCGTTCTCTTTGTTGCGCACTCATCGCTCTCGCTTGCTCGGTCTCTCTCGCTTGACCTCTCGCTCGCGCTTGAACTCTCTCTCGCTCTATCTCCTCTTTCGCTCCCTCTCGACCTCTCTCCCTCTCGCCCTCTCGCTGTCTCTTGCACCCTATCTTCCTCTATCTCGCTTCCTTCAGCTCTCTCTCTCTCACTATTTATCTCTCCCTCTCTCTCTCGTTCTCTCTCGTTCTCTCGCTCTCTTTCCCTACTCGGTGTCAGCTTCCCTTTAGGACTCACTTTCCGCTTACCTAGTTCTCTGATATCAACATCGTCTAGCCCATAGATCAACCCATTTTTTCACTCAAAGTTCATCTTGAACAACTCCCCCTTTTCACACCCCCGACAACTCGGTTACATATTTTTCTGACTCCCCCTCGATTTCTGAATGCGTTGTGTGTAGGCGAGAATTGGATGTGGATGGCCGTTTCGTAGAGGGGATTTCTAGCGCTAGGTGGGGGGATTGGCTGTGGGATAGTTGAGGGCCCTTAACATCGATGGGACCCTTTCGGAACATCTCAAAAGAGATGTCCCCCCTCCGTCCTCGTACTTATTAGAGCTCGCCCGCCCATTTACACTTCCTGATGTTGTCATGATTTTGTTGAGCTTAATTTTCATGTTTTTAGACCCTACAAAATGCTAAAACCGCGAAACTCGACCCGTTTGCTCAACCAAAATATGTATAAAGTCTAAAATTCGCTGTTTGTTTGGATTAATGGCCCGGCAAGCTAGCAGAGATCGTTTCGGAAGGGCAAATTGAGCGCCTCCTGCTTTCCCCTTCTTTTTATGGCCATAAGGAAGAAGAGGGCTCCCTATCTCCAAAATAATCCGAGATGACCTCGTGAATTATGCCTGCTCTCTATCCCTCTCTCTCTCTCACTCTCTTTCTTTCTCTCTCTCTCGTTTGCGCATTCAAGAATATCCACATCAGGGGCCTCATTTTGCAATGGGGGAACCCCCCTCTATGGAATGGGCCTCAAGAAGTCCGGTGCTCTTTTTGAGAATGGCCCCGGAAATACTGGGGCCCGGGCCCGACCAAAATATGGCTCGAATTCTGGAGGTGTTGGATCTTTTTACGGATGGGAAGTGCCAAAACTTCCCTTCCGGCGGCTAAGTCCCGAACCGTACCGCACCAAAAGACGCTTGAATGGCCTTTGTCGAGGCCTAGCCGAGAGAGGGGGTCGATTTTGTGATATTAAACAGCGATAAAGGGATAGTTGGTTATTAAGTTGTCTTCGGGGGTAAAGGGCAGAACATTCTACTGAGTAGACTGGATTTCTGTTGTATCTTTGCCAGAGTTCTATTCATTTTCCCTGACCTCCAACCTTCCGCTCCCTATAATAAAGATTTTCTGATGCCAGAACCTACGACCTCCTCCCCCTTCCCGTCACCCCCCATATTAGCCCCCGTAAATTATTCAAATCTGGGAGCGGCCGTGGGGCCAGAAGACGTCCGGAAGGATTCGCATCCACCGCGCATCCCCCTTTTGACTTTAGCGAGAAGTTGCCGTGGATTTGTGTGCCCCTGGGGGCATTCTGGTTTCCGCCACGAAAATATAGCTGTCGTGACGTGCAGCCATTTTTTTGAGGGGTACGGTAGTTGAGTCTGATCTATTAGCTTTTTGAAATTAGCCCCGGTAGCCTCTCTTCATCCGATTATTGATCGCGCCCATGCTTTGGAGCCCCTCTCCGAGATAACTCCCTCTCCGCGCCCCTCACCCGACCCAACCATAGCTCAGTTGGTAGAGCGGAGGACTGTAGAGTCGGCAGCTATCCTTAGGTCACTGGTTCGAATCCGGTTGGTTGAAATTCTTTTGCTTTTTGCTCAAATAACACGTCAACGCTTTTTGCCGTATCGAAAAAGGCTTTTTATGGGGGTTTTGAAGCACTTTAGCTTCCAAAACCATCTTTGAAAGCATAAGGCTTATAAAAATCTCTTTGCTAGCCGGCTTTTTCCAAATCTGCTTACTATCCGGCTTCCTAAAGGATCTCTGCTAGCCTGCCCTTTCCCAAAGCACCGTGGTAGCATTTTTCTGTTTCTGTCACCACCACCCCTTTAAAATGCACCCAAAGCAGGCTACGTGTGGCTCCCAGAATTCTCTATTACGCTTCGTCCCAAATTCCAGTGGGTCGGACCCGGAATTCCGGAAATCCGTGCCCATTCCCAGAATTCCGCACGGCTCCGCTAGACGGAATTGGGAGGAGCACGGCGGAACATAGATATCCCTGGTTGTGACCGAGCGATGGATAGACGGTATTCTCTCGGGAATTTCGTGGCCT